GTCAAAAATGGGATGGAGGTTAATCTGAATTTTTGGATTTACTGAGGGCCAATGTGCTTGCAAAAAGCCTTAATGCATTGCTTTAATACAACTTTATGCTCAGTAATAATAGCTACTTTTACAGATGTTTGTGGTATTCTAGCCAAAGACGGTAGGCAGAATGCATATGTAGGGTTTTTAATTTACTTAAAAGAATTGATGTCAGGCATACTTTGTCCATCTGTGCTTGTTGGTCATGGTATCTACACTATTGATTGCAACTAACACTTCGGTAACACAAAGATATTTTGTTTTTCTATATTTTAGTGTTTTTCAAGTATGATCAAGGGGATGGGAAGTGCATTTAACGAAAAGGTATGAATGTTTAGTTAACATAAGATGCGGCTATATGCATTTTAGTTTATAAAACTGTGAGGCCATTTGTATACAAAGTCAACAGACTTGCATCAACTCAATAACTTGAATTTGAATCACTCTTAATACTATATTTTGAACTATTAATAGCTAGACACTGTTTAACTCATTATATTGATTGCCTCATTACTGAAAGCTGGGAGCCTTGCCTCATGTTTTTCAATAGACCAATGGTTATTTCATAGATAATGGATTTTAGGTATGATATTACCATATGGTAATTTGTTTTAAAAGAAATTTAATGAGGTTTGGATATAATAGAATTCCTAAAGTCAGCTGATGGTGTTTTAATATATATATATATATTTATTATATTATATTTATTCAACAGTGTTAACGGCTAACTACCTTCAATATCACACACGCACGCACAAACGCACGCACACACACACACACACACACACACACACATATATATATATAATATATATATTTTGAAGAGTGGGTTTGCATGTATGCTCCATTATGACATGAAATATATTATTTTATTGTTTTTCTGAAACATACCGTAACTTTCCTGAGTAGGACTCTCCATCTCTGGATAAATCTGTGGCATCTGTTGACAACAAATAGTTGGAAGTAGTGCTCTTTTTCCTTCGTCGAGCAGCTAACAGAAATATCTATGATATATAAAATTATTGCATTGTAGTTCGAAAAAATATACAGCTCCATCGGACATTTGCATTCATACTAAAGAATATTAGTTTTGATATTATTTTGCAACCAGTACACAACAGTGATGGTAATTTAATTTGTTACAATGTCATCATCTAACTTATTGCTCAAGGCATGTCTTTCAAAAACAATCTACGGACAAATTGAAAAGTGAAACATTGTCGTAATAATAATGTCTATTATGATCTGATCATAATATGTCTGTTATGTTAATCTATTGTAGAGATTGATTATGGTATTGAGTACACTCTAGTCTTCTTCTTCACATCTAAGTGGCAACGTAACATGATTTTGTTCGTTCGTTCAATTTATTGTCATATACAAAGTAAATGAAATTTGTTTTCAGGAAATCTTCCGGTTTGTAAAACTTTCCCGCGATTAAAATTCATTCATCATATACTATATTGCCATCTAAATACAATTTAGATCAATCAGTAAGAAGAAACTGTCATCTAAATATAATTTAGATAATAATAATTAATAATAGTTGGATTTGTATAGCGCATCATGCGAAAAAGCCTCTATGCGCTTGGGGATCAATCAGTAAGAATAAAACTGACACGTTTTACTAAGAAAATAATCAAATTGATATAATTATAATTTAATTATTACTTCATTTATAATTTCTTTTATATACGGTTATTCTCTACCACATATTTCTATAGCAATAAACAGAACGTGTCTCACCTTCTTTCCATCTTCCCGTTCCATGTGTAGAAAGTATGTCGGGTACATTCCCCTGTCAATCCCTTTCTTATCACGGGAGATACGGCATCGTATCGTCTGACCTTGAGGTGCCGGCTGTATCACAAATTTATCCAGGTCATCAATATTAGACCCACCTCCAATAGCACCTCTTGAGTCCTAAGAAAATCAAGATAATAATACACAACTTGTAAGCCATAATATGGCTTGAACATATTATGTTCAAGCTACTTTTCATAATTATGGTATGGTAATGTAAAATCAAGGTAACTGACATGTTCCAGAAAACATCTATTTTACTTAAATACTCATTAGAAATTTGTGAGTTCACATCTTGACATGTATTAGCTTTACACATTCTTGTTGTCCTGGTTACCAAGATGAATGCTTAAGTTGCATGGATTAATAATCTTCATGGCTTAATAATCTTCATGGCTTAATAATCTACATGTCCCTTATGAAAAGCACAAAACAGGTTGGAAAACAATTCAAGATGACTGATTTTTGTTGTTTACAAGTAATTAATAGTAACAGTTGTGTTATAGGACAGTAAAGGATTGTATTTTCTGTTGTGAAATTCTTCCAAGAACATGAAACAAATAACAGCAAATTATTAAGACAAAAAAACCCCCAAATAAACCATAATTATGAAAGATGTATGCTATAATGCTCTGACTACCGAGTGAAAATGTTGTAATCACTGCAAGAATTACAAGTTTAGCAGTCCCACAAGCTGTTAATGGTTGTCTGATGTTGCTGCTAGCCAATGTGCACGTACAGTGCCTCATTACCCACATTTACACACCAAGACAAACAACGGCAATCGGAAAAAACATGACAAGTTATATATTTGCAATTGTGCTGGTTATATATTTGTCAATACTACTTCCCCCTATTATTATTTAATTTATTTATGTATTTATAATATTAAATATTATACTATAAATATTATATTATAAGTCCTACAGAAAATAACACAAAGGTATTGTTTTGAAAATGGTAGACAATGAAGTGTTTTTGCCATTAATATGCTGAAATAAATTAGTTGGCAAACAATAATCTGCTGAGGTTTTACCAATCCGATTATTCATCCTCATTCCTTAATTGAAAGGAAAATCTAGAAAAGCTATTAACTGCTCTCCTGGGATCAACTTCAGAAAGCATACGAGCGCCTAACAATCTTTTAAGGAATCTTATACCAAATTCATCTCAAACAAATAAACCAATATGTTCCAACCAAGTGTCGGCAACTTCTGCGTTAGGCAAGAAATCAATGAAAAATGACATTAAATAGAATAAAAATCAGTGAAGCATTACGCAAATCTTTTCAAATATTATGTCTGAATCAATCTTAATAACAATCTACTGTAATAAAATAAGAGGACAAGCAACAGTGGTAGTTTAAGCAGCAGCAGGTAGTGCCTTATTCTGATACATAACGATGCGTTTAAAGATGTATTTGTAATTAAGCCAAATTATTATATGCACACCTGATGCTGATGGCTAGATAACCAAGAAGAATTGATGACAGGGAGAGAGCTTGGTAGTTTAGTGACAACAACTGAACATAAAATACTGATAAGCTCCAATTTGGAAAATCGCCAAAGAGAAAGATTACCAAATACATGAAAATAAAAATGCTAAAAACAATACAAGAGAGACGTGGGAACATTATTAATTTAAAAAACAGTATACAAGTACTTAAAGTCCCAGTAGTATAAATAAGGAGTAAAGTTTATTCCAAGAGGAAGGTAAAAGGTACGTTAACACCGAAACGAACAGTAAAGATTATGCTGTTTAGCCCCATCTAAATCTGCCTCTGGGCTAGCACTACTGAAACGAACGGTAACGATTATGCTGAGAAAGAGGGAGGTAGAAGGCTAAAATAACAGAGGGAGAGGTTGAAAGCTAGTAACTCTGAAAGAAATAAGGAAAGGATACTCATTAATCAATAATGTTACACATTTAAGAGAATACTATAATGACCAAATGACAAATTGATGAGATCATGCTAATCCATGGTAGACTTAACTAACCCCCATTTGTGTACATATTAATCAAACTAGTTACGTCAATGTGCAGATTTACCATCTTATCAAGGATGTTCATCACCACGATATTTTCAGGATGCGATAGAGTACGTCATTAAATCTCTCATGGTAAAATATGGATTCTTCTCTACAACAATTTCAGCAAGCTAGGACGATAATTAGCTACAGTTGTGTTTGTAATCAAAATTTGAAGTAGTGGATGCTTCATAACCATGGCAACGTAATGTCCGCTATAGCATCTAGTTAATGCAACCCATTGTTAAATTGAAAGCTAACAAAAAATTATTAAAAGTATAATCAAAATTATTGAAAATAAACATTTATAAATAATTTCCAGAAATCAACTTGAAGAAATCTGTGAAGTAGTACAGTAGTTCCAAACACTTAAATAGTCATTAACAGCCACAGCTGGTTGAGGCCATATTCATGCTTCTAATACCAGTTGCATATTAAACATCCTGTACCTCCCATCATATTATTGGTTGTTATATAAACACCTACTGTACATGTATCTCATTTCTGGCGACTATTAGACTTTATAACTCGCATGAATATCATGTGAATATACTGACCAGCAACTTTAATATAGATGGATAAATTTATTGTTCTATTTATAGAAATGATGAAAACCAATCCTATCGTCAATTTTGGAGCATTTGGAATGCTGAATACACAAGGATAACTTCAAAAGAATCATGCAGAGGAAAATAGGATAATAAAAATAATGTTTAAAATACGAATATTGGACATAGTCATTGCATACCAAGAGTAATGCAATGTCTTGTTGGATGCAAAATGAATATGTTGTTGGAATTGACATGTCGACAAGGACGCGAAGCCCGCCCACAAGTCACAAAAACCTTAGACAATGGCAGCTAGACTTACCGAGTTGGCAAACATTTTCTTTGCTATCAACCTTCTTTAAGAAAGAGAATTCAGGGTAGGTGGTATGCAAATGAAACATATATTCATAGAACAGGCGGGGAAATTATTGTAAAAGCCTCTGTATTCACTCCCAAAGGAAGAGGGAAAAGCCGCATTCAGTCAACCTCGTTGTCTGCAAAGGCCAAGTCACTGATGCGCACTGCTCGTGAAAACCTGGGTATCTATATCCAAGCATATAGACATCTAGGCCTAGGCTCATGTATGTTTTGCGTTGACAACCAGCTGTCTAAGGAAATTAAAATGTCCGAGAAAAAGTTTTTGATCCCGTGACTAAATGACGCTCGCTGATTAGTCGGTTTATCTTTCAATTAAATCTCGTCGAGATGTTAATTGGGGGAAGGAGTGAAAAGAAAACAAGAGGAATTATTTAATTGTTGCAAGGGTTTACGTTTAAAATTTGATTAATAACCTGATCTGGTTGAAGCAACAAATTGGTAAAAATTCCAAGTTGTTCTCTCATCCATGTTTAAAATCTGAATCTAAAAGATAAATACACGACGACAGACAATGCTCAAAATGCATTGTTTTTGAACTCTAAGATTTTACTTTGTCTTGTTTTGGCTCCTATCGTGAAATCAACCCATTTTGGCTTGACTTCATCAGATATCTTAATGATTACCGAATGTTGATATAAAATGAAGTTAGCAACAACGGTACATTTCCACGTGAATCCTGAACCTATGCATTATAATAAACTTCAAATTTAATTCAAATTTATAAGAAGATTTTCTTGTATAACTACTCTGTACCTATCAAATAATTTGAATCACCTTCCTACAAATGCTATATTACTGATAATTACTATAAAATAGAAATAAACCATGGGAAGGTCTAATGAACATACACAGATTATGAATTATAAACACAGTAACATATGCAGATATCTCTAGATATCACTCAGCACATCAATCCTCAAAGGCACTCTTCATATTATGAATACAGTTCTGCATCATGACAGCAAAGTCAACACTTAACCTCAATATAAGTAATAATTAGATCCAAAAAATGCAATACTAATAATTTCAATAATTAGGAGAGAGGCCAATTATGTAAACATTGAGATGCATATCGAATATCCAAGAATTAAATTAAGAATGTATTTCTCTTTATTTGGTATCAGGCATATTTGGTATCAGGCATATTTGGAGTTGAATTGAATTATGTATACATACAATTATTAATAGTATACATTCTCTTCTGGTTTATCCTCTAGGAAGAATTGTACGTTTTAATAAGTCTGAATTATCACAGCTGGGGCAGATGCAAACTTCTGCTGGTTGTGAGAAAAATCCCTGGGCCCACATCGAGGTCTAGTAATGGTGTTCCTTTAGGTATTTTTCAAGCATTCAACATGGAAACTAATGTGTAAATATTATGTATTATTAAGTATTATGTGTTTATTATATTCATTGCTTAGAATTGTAGTTTTTGCTTGATAAAATGTGGTATAAAAAAGATAAATATTTTTAGGAAAATGTAAAATTTGCTACTCTTGGGATTTCAACCTAGAGATTTACCAATTACCGTTTTGTTTCTACGATTTTGTTTCCTGATGATGACATATTTAATGCCGAAATATTGAATCCAGACATGATGGCGTGCATTTTCAATACTTGGAGTATGTATTATACTATCTTATCTGAGATTAATTAGTGGACCTTTCGGTTTTTGTTGAACAGAGTTATATGAGGCAAGTTGAGAGTCTCTTAGATTTCCTATATGGGACATGTTTTTCAAGGTATTGGATTTAATACATAATTAATACTACCGCCGATAGTTAAAAACACATTACATAGAGTGCCCTCTATATTAAATGGCAGAGTTTAACTGAAGGATTTGATTCTATCGTTCGTTGTTATAACTGTGACAAGTCATAATGCAGCCTGTAACAGTATCCTTTACGATATTACAAAATAACAGCTCCATGATAACAGTACCTGCATCGCAGGCTAAGGAGATAGTTGGACACTAAGCTATCATCTACGGCTGTGAAACCTTCAGTTGGTAACTGTGAATCTAAGACACACAAATTGCATGAGAGTAGCAACGTTAGCACACACATTCAACCCAAATTACCCAATGTGCTTTCTCATTACAATGGAATTTTCCCTACAGACTCTAGGACTTTACTGTAATGAAGAACTAAGAAATGCAATTAAGTTGATATAAAGAAGGCAACATAGGGACCTAAATCAGATGCATACCTGTACATCTTCTATTTATAATATTGTTTTCAATTTAAACATCTACTTTTTTTTGAAAAATGTTAATTAAATTTATGGAATTGTTCTTTTCTCACTCTCTCATTTATTGCCTATACTGTAGTAAAATTTTTTTTATTTTATGAAACAGGTACAACAAATCTTTTGTTACATATAGTGGAACCTGCATATATTGATTGCATACTAGCTAATAAAAAGCATAATAACAATAAAATAGCAATAACAAAACAACAATGTATCTTGGGTTATGACACAGTGAAAATATATCACACACTGTTTGTCATAATCATAATTTCAGCTGGGATAAAGCATTTTGATGGATTATTTTATAGGGTTTATATTCCATGTTCATTACCAAATTTATTTGAATAAATGCCAAGGGACGTTTACTGCCGAGGGTTTTTGAGGGAGCGATTATTCGAGGGATGAGTTTATTCAAGGGAGGCGTTTATTCCGGATGAGGCGTTTATTCACAGCGAGTTGTTTATTCAAAATAAATATGGTACTTCAATAATTTTAACAAATATAATAATTACTGGAGTATGTTACTGAATAATCTCAATCTATTTTTATAAACCTATTAAAACAAATATACAGCATGGTAATTTCAGGTGCTAATGTTTTAATCTAATGTTACAAAAATCAATTATTGCCAGACCTAATAATCAATAAGGTTGACAGCAATGATGCCAATGATAAAAATATAAGTAAGTACTATATGCCAGTCAGTTTGATCACAACAATTAATTGTAAGCTATAAAACATGTAGAATACAGTCATAAAACATAATATTAAAATCTATAATATAATTATACTTAGAATTATATAAAAAAAGAACAGTTTTAAAGACACAATTCACACAAACAACCTTAATAAAATGAATTTTTAATTTGTAATGGCAAGGATCATCTATTTCGGAACAGAAACCATGCATGAAAAACCTGGTTTTTAATTAATTCACCACAATAAAAAATTTACTTAAAATATTATGTGATGCCTTGGGACCATGATGAGTTACATAGTTGGTGGCCAAAGCACTGAATGGCCATCATCGCCATTAGGCCTAATTATCAGAAATTATACCGAATAGCTTTTACCCAATTGGTTACTATGGCAGCCATTTAGATTGGAGACACGCACAAAAGATTTTGTCATAATTGGCATAACTGGTTTTCTTGTACATTGCTTAAAATTCTGCAAAAAAAATAATGGCTAATATCTGTGGTGAAGTCATTCTTTTGTCCTATATTTTGCTTTTGTACTATGAGCGACTAGTCCTCAGAAACCAGTCTCATGTGTAAACATAATACCAGTCTTGTATGAAAAAAAATAAAAAAAATACTTGCATCACACGCAAACAACTCAGACCAGCCTCGCATGCAAACAACACAGCTACCAGCCTCACATGCAAACAACACAGCTACCAGCCTCACATGCAAACAACGCAGCTACCAGCCTCACATGCAAACAATTCAGACCAACCTTGCATGCAAACAACACAGCTACCAGCATCACATGCAACCAACTTAGACCAGCCTCGCATGCAAACGACACAGCTACCACCCTCACATGCTAACCACTCAGACCAGCCTCACATGCAAAACAACACAGCTACCACCCTCAAATGCAACCAACTTAGACCAGCCTCGCATGCAAAATACACAGCTACCGCCCTCACATGCAAGCAAACGACACAGCTATCAACCTCACATGCAACCAACTTAGACCAGCCTCGAATGCGAACAACACAGCTACAACCCTCACACGAAGCCAACTTTGACCAGCCTCGCATGCAAACGACACAGCTACCACCCTCACATGCTAACCACTCAGACCAGCCTCGCATGCAAAACAACACAGCTACCACCCTCAAATGCAACCAACTTAGACCAGCTTCGCATGCAAACAACACAGCTACCACCCTCACATGCAAGCAAACAACACAGCTACCTGTCTCACATGCAACCAACTCAAACCAGCTATGCATGTAAACAACACAGCTACCACTTCTCACATGCAAACAACTCTAAAATTAGTACTTGGATATCACAGATAAACTACACTACAGAACAAATACTTACCATGCCAGAGTTTGGTCTTTCTGGTTGGCTGTTTGTTGAGTTTAAGTTGGAGTTTGAATTTGAGTTGAGGGTGTTCTCGAGTACATCATCATACTTTGGAGGTGGGTAAGGAGATGTAGCTTGTATGGATGGTACCGTTGGTATCATCTGCTCATCATTCTCTTCAAAGTCTGCCTTTGATGATATTCCCATTGCTTTAAGTTTTTTCTCAGTTTCTGTAGGGAAGGAAATTGGGATTATATTTGCTACTGTATGATGTTGAAATAAAATATATGAAAATTTTAAATAATCACATTTTTTTGTCATGTAAAGTATGGAGAACATGGAAACTGATGTCCAGACTATCAAATTTTATTTGACAAAAACATATGACATGCCTAAATACAGTCATGATGACATCACATCATGACCATATATAGGCACATAATGACTATATATGGGCAAATAACAGTTTTTTGTCCAATCAAAATTTGATAGTTTGGACAGAGCTTTACTAGATGAAATAAATTTGCATTGAAACCTGAAAGCCAGCTTGAGTGGAATACAAGTAGTATAATGTGTGTGTATTTTGAGGAACCATCTCATCTTTATTTTATACTGTTGTGACAAAAACGTTTTATCATATCGTATGGTATTTGATTGATGTCACCGCATTTTTTGTAAGACATAAATTGGCATGACAACTTCTGATGGATAAACAGTTAGGTTAGAGTTGTAGAATATCAACTAATATTTATAAGTGAGCAATTTGTAAACCATGGACTGGGTGGTGTTGTACAATATTTTTAATAAGATTTTGCTGGTAATAAATGTTAGATAAATATTAAACAAACATTTTTCGAAAACATGATCAAAGTAACATATGCTCAATATTGAAATTTGTTGCTTTGAAATCTTTTCATTTTTTTAAATTTTAAGATATAATAATATTGAAAATTAGATAAAACATGTTTAAAAAAGGAGATAAGACTAATATGAATCAAGCAGACATATTACAAATGAAACAACTTGAGAATCTCAAAGCCACTGACACTTTCATTTTGTAATTTACGATGACAATGACGGAGCACACATTAGTATCAAATAGGTGTCACAATTAATCATAAAAATCATCATCCAACAACATGTTTGCTTTTGGCGATAATACTGGCTTACACAGTTATTGCCACTGCTATTTTAGGAACTAATTTTCTAACCTGTAGTTTCTTTAAAGCGTGGACACTCGTCATCTGAATCGGTGCTTGTTGAACCAACCGTGAGTACTTGCACAGTAGTGGAGCTGCCATTCAACATGTATGAGGCAGGCCCATCAATGCCTAAGAAAAACATATAAGAATGATCATTAATACCAAATTGTTTATATTAACAATAATCATTATACAGCACCTGTATATATTCTATTAATTTGATTGGTTGAAAACAGGTTACATGAGATTGATTTAAAATAAATTTTCCATGGCTATTTGAGTACTAGTCAACGATCATTGAATAGTACTTTTTTATCTACAAGACTACAAAAATCTCGGATGCAACAGGAGTGAGAAAAATTAGGCGCTAAAATGGCAGGGCCATTTGGTACTGGGTCATTTGTACTTTTGAGCAAAGAAGATTCGGAGGAATTAATGCATGAAAGTTATAGCGAATCAACAAAAAAGGGAATAAAATATGATTTAACCATATGGAGTATTTCGCCAGCTTCAGCAGTGAGGATTTGAGTCTATTAGCTGGACCTGAACCTGATTGATGCCTAGGCCAGTTTTATGCTGGCCTTCGAAAGGAAGATGGGTCCTTGTATTTGAAGAAGAGCATGCAGGCGATCCAGAGAGGGATACAGCTAGCGCCTCGTTGAATAGAACATCCAATCTTTTACCAAATGAAATATTCTACTCCATTGCATATAAACATTCATTATTTGTATAATAATAACAAGGGCAAGTTTTCTAAATGACAACCACAAAAACAAAACATGGAAAACATACAAAAGTTAGGTTGAATTTAGAGAGAAGTCAAATGCTGTATTGGACAGTTGAAATATTGGTAATATACTACTACAAGCTGGGGGTACTAAAAGATATGTCCTGATATGGATACCTACTACAAAGATTAGGTAGTGATTAAATAACTCCATGACTTTTAAATACCATTGGAATATAAGGGTGGAGATTCAAAGGTTATATGAGAGGTGAAACAAAATGAGATTATAAGGAAGCTTATCAGAATCCTGTTCAAAATACAAAACAATCTATATTTATCAAAAATAAATATTGATAAGTACTAAATCAGGACACAAAACACTGCTTTGAATTAAGTAACTTTTCATCCTTTTATAATTTACATCAAATTTACAAGTTTATGCACTACTACTACTACGAAGGCTCAATATTGAAACACCAATATGTAAACAGGTAACTTAAAATGATTACTAAAAGAATATTCAGTGTTGAATATCAACTTGTACTTCCATTATGAAATCTTAAATTCATATTTTATGTTTTTAGCCAATTTAAAAAAGCACTCAACAAATTTATACATTTTAAAAAAGCTGGTATAATGTACAGTTCAAAATCCACTGAAAGGGAATGAGAAATCATAAATGAATGATGATTCTTCACAGAGACTTCTTGATATTTAAATTTGTTCAATGACAGAAGACATATCAGACATTAGCATTAGAGCTAAGATTTACAGATTAAATTATTGCTGAAAGAAATATCCTGGCCTGCTAGTGTTATGTGTTGAGTAAAACATAGGAGATCAACAACACTGTGCAAATTATACAGTCATGCGAACTTTAATACATAATTGATCTCTAAATATTTATATTACCATAGCTATGACCTTTTTATTAGGATAACTTTCATGTTATGTAAATTAGGTATTATGGCATCTTTAGTGAAGTATCTTACAATAATTTGAGTAGACTAAAAAAAGTTTGTGACAAATTCACCGTACAAACGCGTGCACAGATCTGAAAGAAATATATCGTAGTGGCATTCTTTTAAACGTTTTGACATTATTGACATTTTCTGTGTTCTTATTTATGTTAATTAAAATACCATAAAGAAACACTTTTACGAATCTACAAAATATTGGATGAGGACTTATCACGCTACAAAAGCAATACATGTGGGAATTCAATAATCAATTACGTTTAGTGGAAGGAGCAGATACGGTATATATACTGTGTAGTAGTAGGTAAGTGGAACGTACCACTTCAGTGATTGCGGCTGATACAAAGGCATACTGTATGTTCAATAACTATAACGGAACAAAATATATTATAAAGTGTCCATATTAATCACTAAAATAAGTCAATGATGAATATAGAATGTCTACATCTATCACAACATTGTAGCATAATCTAGTTTTTATTATACTCTTTATCAGTCTTCTTTATTCTTACTTGCTTTTTTTCAATATAACAAACAAAATTATTGGCTCATAATTCTTCCTTATATACTGTAAAAGGTTAAATTTGTCTTTCATTTCCGAAAGCCTTTCTAAATATTAAAATTATAGTTAAAGGACATAGCAGCATTCAATATTATGCTTTAGAATATTCATCTTGTATCAGGCAATATACTTTGGCCAAATGGGCTTCACACACTAGTTACTCCTGTGGCCGATACAGAGGAGGTGATAGTTGATGACACCAAGATGTTTGAGTGCTTTTTTATTGGGCAAAAATTATACAGATGTTGGCAAAAAGGCAGCAGCTTTTTTTGTTTTTGAGGGTGGGGAGTTTAATCATGAGAAAAGTTTTGTTCCTGTATCTCTCAAAAAATGTCATTTAAACTTGCCATTTATACAGGAGTGCCCTTTTTCTTTCTAACCCCCACACCCTGCAAATTATATCTGGACCCGCCCAAGCACTCACTGACTCGTGAGTTCAAGTAAGATATTATTAGTTCCAGGAGACGATAAAACTTATTTTAAATTATTCAATAATAATAATAGTATATAAATCTCTGAATACTTCATTTTTAATATTTTGTAAGTATTTGGGGACGTACTGAATATTCGGTACATGTCAAGTAGGGCAAAACATCACTCCTATGATATTTTTCTGATGCAAACTCACATCAAAATGTTACACAATCTCACAATATTATTGATAATAAACTCAATTACACACAAGCTAAGAGAACTTACTATACATAAGTAAATGCACAACAGCCAATCATTAATGGGAGCTCAGTATGTTGGCATTTCCCACTGTAACACAATGAATTCGCCTCATCTTTGACTATCCAGTAGATATGCTGGTACTGTATTGGGCATGCAACTATTATGTACATACATGACAGAAACAATTTAAAAGCCATCACTAAAAAGTAATGATGCATGATAATGTTAAACACACCGTGTAAACTATCACTTGCGGATGAACTCCTTGTTGGAGAAACCAAAGGACGTGTCTCTTCTGGGAGCCGTCGCCGTGTTTTCCCACCTGAACCAGTTCGCTCCTCATTTGGTTTTACCATCATAGGTGTGCTGTTCTTCTGCCGCTGTTTCTCCAAAAGGAGTCTTTTCTATGAAACGAAATTAAAAAAAAAAAAAGTATAATTTTTTATTGTTTTTCTTATTGGACAAACATACAGTAGCCGGTGATAAAATTTATGAAAATTACCATTAACAATAAAAATGACATTAACAACACTTAAAAAGAGTTCCATGATCAGTTATGAAATATATATTGAACATTATGGATGTAGCTCCTGTTATGTTTAATGCATTATACATTCAATGTAAAGTTTAATGCATCGTACATTGAACGTTACAGATGCAGCTTCCATACCGTTCATTGCATCATACATTGAACAAATGGAAGCTAGCAAAAGACTAAACTACTACAGTATATGACTAGACTTTCATGATTATCTAACATTTAAATCTTAATAGCACCTTATTTCTAGTTTATAAAACCCTAATACTAACATAAAAATGTGCTCCTCAAAATCTATCTCATACAGTATGTTATAAGACAGGTCATATAGCAACCATCTTGATAATGTTAGATGAAACAAATTAAAGAGTTTACTCCATGTCAAAATATACTACATAGACAGGAGAAAGTCAAGATTACGTAGAGAAATGCAATATTAAAATTTATTCTCGCGTTCATTGAAACATGTAATTCCCCAGCAGCAGTAAATTTGTTACAAGTCCATTACTGAAGGCTAATTATTGCTGACGATGTTTTTCAGTGCAGAGCCACGATTAATTAAATACACTGCACAAATTTGGAATCATACTTTTTCTCTTTTAGAGTGGGAGAGGATATGCCTTATGGGGGCTCTACTGCATTAAATATTTAGTACTTTCAAGTACAAATTATAATTTAGCACCTTATTTCTAGCGATGCCTAAATTACAGGCTTCATTCTTATATGGGTGTCTTGAAACTAATAAAAATTAATTTTTCCATACAGTATTGACTTCTTTTTGATCAATTTGTTTTTTTCTTTCTTAATCAGTTTTTATCTTGTCATCTCATTGAAACCACTATTAAATGACACATTTTTATGTTAAAGCTTGATTATAGTCAGTTCTTTTTCACAATTCCACTTTAAACTAACTATTTATCATAATATATATTGTGCTGTAAAAAATAAAATATTCATTTATATAACAAAATTTGAGCAACAGGGAGGGTAGGTGAACTAAATTCTGGAGTTATGCAAGTGTTGAATCTTCTTCCTTCCTAACTACCTTGATTTAAAATGATACACCTAGGCAGGTGTCTAACCCTGCCACTTGCCTGACAGTATTACATCTTTATCCTCGAGGAAATGCCTTCCATAGTTTTCATCAATATCCATTCAATTAGCATGCTGTCAGTGTGTATTTTACACATTGATCAATGACATATTCCTACTACGAGATGCAATTTATGCAAATTTCATATCACTCATTTACATATTTGGCTGTGGTTCTAGGATTTCAAAACTAAGGAAGATGGGTAACAGTCGCAAAAATTACATTTAAATACCTTCTTGTCTCGTTGTTGCTGTTAAAAAAAGGAGGACTTGGGTATAGTCAATATGGAGGGTTGAGACAAATAAACAAAAAAAATAACATACAAACAAAAAACATACAAAGAAAACAACACAAGAATTTGAAGTTGCTGTGTGATAATGAATGTATTTTGGAAAAATGTCTGTCAACATGAGATTTCTTTCTCCTAATTATTGCATAATCTTCACATAGTATTGACGCATTTTCTAATAAAACTGTTATCTGTCACACTTAAGTAGAAACATCAAAGCATTGATCAAATGACAAGTAAGTGCTAATGTGTTGACATTTATATGTTTACAGACAGTTGTTATATTTATAGTATAACCCATGGTTAACCACTTATTGTATCTGATGTGCCCATGTTTAATGTTTGAAAAGGGAAGGATTATGAAATGATCATGCAGCTGGCTCTGATCAATTGTTCAATAGAATGCTTTTAGGAAAGGTGTTTGGAAATTATCCAATGATGAGCTATCCTTAAATTATCAAACGATGAGCTATCCTGCCTTTTAATTAATCAGGAAAAGGGTGGGGGTCATATTGAACGATGAAACTTCTACAAGATCTCGAAAATTGCATGTACAGTATGAGAAATTCTAGGAGAACTACTACTTAATGTATTTCAACAGATCAATATTAGTCAATTTGATAATTTTTATTTATTATTAATAAATTAATATGCTTTTCCTATTTAATCATTTTAACTGTAAAGTAGGCTTGGGATTTATGTACACCACATCAATAAAAAAATTAATATTTATACAACAACATACAGATAATGATTCATTCTTCATCAAGTGTTTCTTATGACTAGACTCTTGCAAACACAATTATAGCATCAGCAGCATTAAATGTATAGTAGTACCTGGATCAAATGCAAATGCGGCAATTATATTACCGCAGTCAGTACACATTCAGCCACTCTATCTTATTAGATTCTTACCTAATAAACAATTACCTACATGATACTGGTACTTTAAACTTTTTCATATACATGAAAATTTCAATTATAAAATTAATTGAAATCTGGTTAAATTATCTTTCTCTGTGTTCACATGATTATGGGGTGGGGTGGGAGTGGGGAGGGAGGAAGAGAGTGAGTGGTATGTGTTGGATATTCTAGTATATGTGTGGCCATAATGTTGTGCCACATTTTTATATCAGCCTGTAAATTGATTAGTTAATCTTAACACGTACAATAGTATTTTAGGAAAATTTAAACATACAAAATAAAGATCACAATGACTTGATTCATATCCTCCTGTGTTTGTTACTTTCATTTTTCATAATATATGATTCGAATGATATTGATTTTGTAACTTTGTTTTTTATTGGGTTAGGGGATGTCATTGTTCAAGCAGGGCCTTGCTATAAGTCTCCATTATCTTTTGGCCGCATCACTGTTTCCACTACACGTACTTGATTTTAACATACAAAGCAAGTGAAAATAATATTTGGATTCTGGATTTACTAATTAGCTCCCTCAATCCATCTTCAAGTTTCTCTGTCCCTCCACCTTATAAATAAACCATCCATGTACATGTACATTAGGTGTATATTAAACAAGAGTATACAAAATAGAGTAGGCTGACCATGTCTATTGAAATACTTTCTGTCAGCAATGATAGTGAGTCATGGCCATAAACAGGATTCGGAATACTGTATATCATTTTTAATGCTCAATCCCTGAATGTTAAGTCAGCACTGCAAGCTATCAACATCTGATTGTATAGGAGCTTACTATTGCTATAAGCTACAGGTTTCGTTCCTTTAAAATACAATGACAGCAAGCTTACTTGGTGTCACTATTTTTTAGTAATGCCTACAGCAGCCTACAGAAACTAAAAAAAACATGATGGTTCAACTACTAACCATGTTATATTAGCTCCATGAGAGCAATTAATTATTCTTTCCATTGAACCTCTATGTATTTAACGGTGAAACTTCTCCAGACATTAAAATCTTTCCTACAGGAATGATCCATTCTCATGTCTGGCATACAGTAACTCACATGTCAGTTTTTAATCCAAATACTATACATTGAAATTGCTAGCATTGTTTTGATTAATACCACATCATCACTGACTTAAAATCATCTAATACAGAAATTGTAAAATCGGTGGCATTAAAAGGAAAACTCACCAAAAAACGTCCCATATTGTTCTCCTTTTCGTGACAAAGTCCTACATAAAGCTCACGGCACAATGTGTTGATATGCAATGATTATGCATTAGCATACATTACAGAAATACGCATTAGTATTACAGTACTCTTCGTCAGCTCAACTAGAATTGTCGTTTTATACATGTGAGCACTTAACAATGCAGTCCTCAACACTATCCCTAATTTAAATTTCCCAAAGTGAAATCAGGCTAAACACAATCAGACAACTAATATACTTGGTATTGATAATGTATATTATTCAAACATCTGCATCAATATGAACGAAATTAAAGGGGTTACTAAAGTAAACATAATTGGGCTAAACTCATGTTAAAATCCAATCAGCGAAAAGCAGCCAGAGATACTAACATCTATCACTTATAACAGATCAATTTAAAACCATCATGGGACCATGAGTCTCCATCACCATTATCCATGTTTATTACTATTAATTCATCTAAAATTGAAAAATTCTCTTATTCACACCACAACATTTTGCTGCTCTGAGACAGTCTTCACACCTTTAACACGTAGTATTACGTTTCACTTAGACTATCCGCACAAGTGAACAAAATTTATTAACATGTGGAAGAGACAGGAGGCTGCCTTGTGGTCCATTGCCCGAAAAAACCATTGAGCAGTTAATTAAGCAAGGAGCATTACTTACTTGGAATATCCTAGTAAATGAAAACAATATAAATAAAAAATGTACTTGCTTCAAAATATAATTTATCAAGAAAAATATCAAAACAATGATATTATGCATTTTTAAAATACAAAATTAATCAAGCTTATTTCAGATCTGAAAAAAGGCAAAATTTAATGTACAGTATTGAAAAGAGTTATTATTGTTATAGATTATTAACAGCAGGAGTAGATAATTTTGAAAATGTCACACAGGCTGCCCATGTAAAAATCTCTTAATTGCCCACTAACTTTGTTCCCAATGGGATGCAAATTAAATGCAAAATATAATACTTTAAATCTAAATTGATTAGATGTTTTATGCTGTACGGTATATCATTTTGTAGTCGGCAATGAAAAGACAGTCAAAACAAATGACGTAACCACTACCAACCGTATTTCATAATAGGAAGGTTAGAGAGCAAAATCGTGTTCGGGCTTTCGCCCATTCCCTATCCAGGCAATACATGTTATTTTTGCCTACTTTTCTGCTTACTTTTGCCAAATAAATATTACTATTATTATTATATTAACCAGTAGGACAAATAATAGCTTCTGAAAACCATGACACTAATCTCATGATATTTAGCAAGGCTCTATGAGTATGCTCAAGGGTGTAGCTTATATAAAATGTTGCCCATATTTTTACTGCCTGTACATATATTTTATCAAATTTTACAGAAGGAAGGTCATTTAGACATTTATTTATAGACAATAAACAGGCTCTACCTTTTACATATTATGAAAACTTAACTATAAAATGAACAACTAAACAAGAACTACTTACAAAAATACAAATGAAAGGAAAATAGAAAAAAATACTATCAAATAAACTGTACTAAAAAATTATGTTGAAATTATCTTTTTAAATATTTCAAGAGTGGTAACTATTTTTTGTGGCCTCATCAATATTGTTCCACAAGTCAGCACCAAAATATTATCTAATTTGCAATCTAATAGTGTGCATTTTAATTCTACTATAACATGGCAAGTACATTTTCTGAATCTACCTGGGCTACTAAAAACTAAACATCACATTATAAATACATTCCAAAATACAAACAAAATTCACTAAGAATTTCAAGAGTGACCTTAGATGACATCTAAATAGCCATGATAAATTTCCCTTGCATAATTAGCATTTCTAATTTCTTTAATACTGAGAATCTGTAGTAGTTTATTAAGTCATATTCTTATCCTATAAACATCACTATAAATCTCCAATACAATTACTGTAGTACATAATGCTCTTAAACTTGAGTACCACCTTTGAGACCTGAAAATTTGGGGTGGTTTCAAGGTTCAGTTTCCTATCAGCAGGTTAGTTTGTGTTTAAGTTAGTTGGTACTTTTTAAAAGTGGTCTTTAATTGGAGAGCATACAGTACTGTAGTTAGTTTAAAATTTGTTCTAGCATTGATCGAACAAAGGATCCTACGTTTGGATGAAGCACACCTATACCACAAGTTCACTCATTATAAATATTGGCTACCTCATTATAAATGCTAAGTGAGCAAGACAAGCATTTGTGAGGAAGGTACTGACTTTAATGAACAACAATTAACCTATCTAGAAGTATGTCAAAAGTAATTAACTAACACCCAAGAGGGAGTTGCTATTCTCAGGAGAGAGAGCTCAACCTGGTGCCAGACTATAGCGTATTTCAAACTTACCTATCTTTGTCAAAGTTTAAAATAAATTTTTTAACAGTCTAACGTTCTAACATGATTATACTATCTAATTGCTTTCATACAGAGCATTCATCAAATTCTCTTTTCATTATAATTCATCAACTCAAGTTTCAATCTAAAATGGATAAAATTGATTGTGGGGTGTTGGACTGAGGCACCCAACAGTGTCAAGAATTAGATACCAATCTGAGAGATATAACACTATACTCAGTTCAATAACGGTTACTGGTTTTTCCTTTTTCTTAAAATGGTTCAATACTATTGGCTGTTTAAGATGCCGACAGGCACGTAATTACATTTGTCACTACTGACGCACTCTGATGAAGAAAATACATATTGCTCGTCTCCAACAGGCTGATGGTTTTGTTTCAGTCACGATCTAAATTAGCAATAATTGAGAGAACATGCTTCGAGCAATTGCATATGATAGATCATTAACAATAAGTTTTGTTTTTAGATCTAAAGCAAACAACAACAAAGATATTTGTTTGGTGGAATAGCAGAATGTAAACAGAGTTAACATTTATCAAGAATGAATTTATACTTATTTAGTTTCATTAGATCAGCTCCAGTTTCTGTTTAATAAAATCTTCATTCGCCATGCTGCCATTTCGGTGAACAATTTAATAAAGTAATTAAATTTTATAGAAAAAGATTTGAAGGAAAGCATGGGTGGGTTCGTTCACTCACTCAGCTCAGTGTGGTGGCCCATATATATTCCATGGGCTAAGATATTTTTCTAAAGAGGCAAGCAGTGTCCAGGGCTAAACCCTGGTGAAGTAATTCCGGGGCTAAAAAGATTTTCTACATTTTTTTTAGCTGGTACTGCATTTTCATTATATTTTAATTATAAGACTATGTCTTCCAATAATTAATTATAAAATGAACTGAATTTTAATGCTTGGCTTATTACAGAATATGTTGCAAATGTTGTTTTTTTTTACTTATCTTTTAAAACCACATGTTATTTGTTAAGTCCCCTCCCTCATAAATAACTTTAGCACCAATATAGTATGCATCTACTGACTATAATGAGCATAAAATTATGAATACCAATGTAACAATTATATAATGTACCTGCTTCTCTAATTTTTGTTGTCGTAGATTAGCTTGCGATGAGGATCTCTCTTCGTCGACCATTCCTGGAGGACCTGACCAAGCTCCATGAGACGAGTAGGTTGTCCTGCAAAGATAATTAAATATTGATAGTTACATAGAGGCATGGTGTACTACTACTAATTTTTTTTTTTAATTGTAATTTTTATTATATTTAGTTGAAACTACAACTTTAAATTCACAATTTTTGAGTATTAATCATTCATCATAGTCTGTCAGTAAAAATTGACAATCTTTTAGTAAGTTACTTTTTTAGGTCACAAATTCACACTGTATAGCAATGGGGCAATTTATCCGTTTGATGCTGAATAACTTGTTAAATATCTTTAACTGCGATGAGAGGTAAACATCACACTAAATCGAAAGTCATTCACAAGATACGTGCTGAATCTGCACTGGTTTTATTTGCTTGAGGCAAAGACTACCGTAATTATTCTCTAGTTACTGTACTAAAAAATAATACCGTAGTGACAAACATGTGCACATACTTGTGGTCAAAGCTCTCCCACTAGTTGTGACCAATGTTCTAGCCATAGCTGATCTATTATTCTTGAATGCATCCCGCAGTATTATAAATATTCAACAGCAATACGTGACAAACATGTGCACATACTTGTGGTCAAAGCTCTCCCACTACTTGTGACCAATGGTCTAGCCATAGCTGATCTATTAATCTTGAATGCATCCTGCATTCAAGATTCAAAACATTCAACAGCAATACAACAGTTCAATGTTTTTACTTTTTAGTGGAAAATTTATTGTGCTCTTAAATTCTATGTGTGGTGCAGGCTTGCTACATTTATTGAGAATGTTTTTGTTCAACTTTTTAAACAGGAAAAGATTTTCCCCAACAAATCATACTGCATGTTCTTCGATGACAAGAGATGAAACAGACTCGCTTCTTTATTCTCGTCGGGATAACATACATGTCAGAGAATATTATTAACCTTTTAGTCAGAGAAAGGAAACCTATTGAGACAGATTAATAAAAAAAAAAAAATGTTCATGCACAGAAATATACAGTACAATCAGCTTATAAAAATAAGTCCTGAAAATGATAACACAATCTTTTATTCAATCCATGCATTAAATATTATCGTCAGTGTAAAGCAAATATAAGGAAAACCTGCAGGTCATATTGCTATGGCAACATGATACAGTGATCAAACATTATTCAGATTGACAGATTCCATGGTAGTACAATGTCTTGACAACTACTGCATATAATGGACTAATTAACACCATATTAGATAGTCTCAAATGTTATAAATAGATACAGTGCATGTTTACAGTCAATCCAAATGTTTGTTTAACACACTGATCTTATATGAGCATGTTGTTATTCAGTGTGACCATGAGGATTTGACAAAACCATTGAAATGAAATGAAGTGTTTTTCAGAGCTTCAGGGACAGGATTTATTATTTTACTCATTAAAAAATTATTGAAGGCAAGGCATGATCATGAGAAAAAGTAGGTATCACAAGTGATTTTTTTTCCTATGTCTAGATGTCTATATTTACTTCTAAAGACACAAAAGAAAAAAAAAGAAATCAAGTACTTTTTATTTGAAGCAAATCGGCTGGAGAGTTTTCATTTCATGCGATAGTCTTCTTATTATTAGAAGACTATCGCATGTCTTAGGACGACCAGCACCTGTTTATATACACCTCCTACCCAACCCCTCCACCGTGCAATAGTAAAATTGGGCTCTGGACTGGCACTTGTGCATATACAGCCCTAACACCCTCCCCTACCTCCTGTGATAGTAAAATTTGGTTCTAGAGGGGGATATGTTTATATTCATCCCCACACCCCACCGTGCGACAGTAGAATTGGGCTCTGGACCAGCACATGTTTATACTATACAATGTTCAATCGTGCTTGCGCACTTCCCTGAAGGGGTTATATACTTTCGATTTATGTATTAAATTAATGTTTATAACATTACCTATACTAGGATGTAAAAATATATTATCATTTTTAAATATAACTGTTTAAAATTCAGACATAAACTTTAGAATCACAAAGATTTTTACGGTTTTGAAGCTTACAACAACAGCTATCAAATGACGTCAGTTTTGTACATGAACTCTTGACTGGGAAATGCACTGGAGCGTTTAAAAACTAGGCCCCTCCGAAAATCCCTGCAGATGGCAGACGCGCAGCAGAACAATAAACGTGTGTTGTGCTTTGGCGGTCGTACGGAATAAATGGTACGTGATATAAGTAAAATAACAACATCAAATGAGAAAGGAGACATTTTTCAATACAAATTTTATTGCAAAACAGTTAAAAATAACAATAAGTAAATAAAATTGAAAAAAAAAAGCGATTTTGAATAATATAACAACAGTTACGCAGCTGTTGGCATACCTAGTAAAAGGCATTAACTCTACAAATATCAGCCCTAAGGAAGAGGTCTACCGATATATATTTTTCTATTGCACACGCAAACCATGGGAAACTGAAACCTGCTTCTTTCTTGCTTAAAATTTAATCCCATATAAATCTTTTAAATAAAACTTGAAACCACAAAAATTAACTTCATATTATATCTCACTGAAAATTCTGACACTTTACAAAGTAGTTTTAATGTGTTTGGTATTTGTATATTTTTACTAGGGCCACACTGTAGATTTAAGATTTTGAAACATGGATACATTCTCATGTTTTTTTATTTTTTTATTTCATGAAAATATAGTTTAATCTGATTTCTTAATAAATCATAAAGTACTATAAAACAAAAACAGTACACTATGTAAAATTATAATTTCAACACTAGACATGCAAGTTCGCTACTGGTCAACTTCATTGTGGCAATTCATGGAAGTATATTAATGGTTATTTATAGTACAAACCTGAAGTGATATATTATTGTTCTAGTCTACAACAAGCTACAGTATAGTCAAACAAAGAGCAATGCTAGGCAACAGTTTGCATGAGTATCAACAAATGTACTGTTTGATTTCATGGTACATTTAACAAGAACACCAATCTAGGTGTATGCTACACACTAAAAAATCACACCAGGTTTCACTTTGACTTTGGTAGACCAAGGCAATCTGGTGCAATAAGAGACTGCACAGCTGTTGCAAATGTATGTCTACCGTGTGCATGTGCGAGAGAACGTTTCTTATTCATGTATTCTGTGTTTTGCAATCAAAGGCAAATACAATCTGTAGAGTTTAATTCATTAAGCAAACCACAAGAGACAAATTGAGGTAAAGCAACAAGCAATTAAAACACATTATTAACCCTATGTTCTCTAGATTGATGCATTCAGTTATTATTTCATAATAGTTACAATATAAGACTATACACTCAATTACTTGAAGTCAGGATCAAATTATATAAAATTTTCAAAAGGGAAACATCATAATTTTGTGAACCTGAAATGTTTGATCTTTAAATCATTATTGATCGCTTTTTTATGATGACAAATTCCACATGTTATACAGATAATTAATCATATTGCAATCAATTGAGGGTTAAATTATTAATATTTGGGCAATGAAGTATGTATTAGTTTGTTTTTAATTGAAATGTGCAAGTTATTCTTGATAAATACCTAGTCATTCTTTGAATTGCATGTAGTTACTATAGAAACCTAGAATCAAGCATCACCTTCTCTTGGTAAGAAAGATGAAGAAATTGACACAGGCTATGAGATCATTTATGATCCATACAATGCATACACACAATATTGTTCCCTGTAAAGAATATTATCCTCAGTACAAAAAACATTCACTTAAATGTTTCCAAGCTTTTATTGGACTCATCACTAAATGCTGTGCAACAAGTACAAATTGCTCTACTGTAGAAAAACCAGAAAATATCGCTCAATTATATCATTACCTTATCTTATATAATTTACTTTTGTTCGGATCGCACAATGAATTCTACTCTATACATGGTCTAATTGAAAGATACTTTAAAAATGATCAACAAATAAATCACATACATTAAATATACAATTTACATAAAAAAAACCAAGCGATATTCAGTAATGAAAAAGGGGAGTCTATAAACCATACTGTAGAATTATTAAAATGACTTTAAAAAAAATGTTTTCAAAGGAACAAAATTACAAATATTCCAAAAAAAAATAAATATTGATTTGTTTAAATTGAATTAACTGCAATTATTCCACAATTTCATTTTATGTTCGTCATACCATAATCTCCTATTTATATTCATGATGATTATCTCTAGTTTAAGATAACTGTCAGGGGAAAAAAAACACAAAAAGGACATAATGTTATTAGTAGTATCATATTTAACAATAATAATGAATGTAAAAATAATCTTTAACTATCTTTGCCAAAATTATTCAGAGTGTGATGTACAGTTCATGGTTAGGCCATAAAAAATGTGTCACATTCAACAATACATCAGGAACGAAATGCAAATTAAATATTATCACCATGACTACCAATATAAACACACATATCCTGTCATATAATAAGCTAATTTCTTTGAAATTGAACATGCCATCCTAGTAGCAAGTACTGTAGTCTTGTTCATATGGAACATCCTTATATTAAACATGACCTTTAAAAGTGATTGGAGTCCAAGCAACAACTGATGCACAAACCACTTCTACATTTGAATTCAATAAGTCAATGCACAGTATCACATGGTCTTAGCCCAAAATCCTAATGCTTTATCATGATAATGGATATAATAACCATGCAAATGTATCAAATTTATCAAAAGCCTTATCATGACAATGGATATTTACATTGATGTTAGACTGTGCTAACATACCAAATTTATCATGCTTTTTTGAGATTCATGTGCAACAATAAAATAAAGTAAATAAAAAGGATAAAGAATTTGGGATGTTTACAATTTTTAAGGAAGGCATAAATACAATTATCAATAATATTATGTCAACTCTTATAAATGTAAAATATTATACTGATGATATTTAGGTTTGATTGATTATTAGCCTCCACAAAAGACAAAATGGCTTTAGTGAATTGACAAGGTAATAAATATTTGCATGAGAAGAGACCATTATAATGTACAGTAATATACTTTACAGATTCATAGTGGTAGTGATCAATAATAGTCCTGTCTGAGGAATTTGCACTATGAATTCAAAAATTGCATGATCAATACACCTCAATTCTTATATGTACAGTAAATTAATCTTTATTTCCTTAACTGTAAAGATGCCAACATGTACAGCGAGCACAAAAGCATTGTTTACTAATTAAAATACCACAACTCATTCTTTATACTTAGTCAGTGATTTTCCAAAATACATTATTAAAAGTAAACCATGTCAATCTACAATACACGGCTTGTAGAAAGAGAGGAGAGGTAATGGAGGAGGGTTGTTGGGCAGATAAAAATCACTTGCATGCTGAATATTACGGTAGCTAAGCCCATATGTACAGTATATTTCACAACATACAGTACTAGGTCTTGGCTATTATTACGCTCTCGCAAAACAAACTAAGCTATCAAATTCGTACAGATGATTGGCGGATCTGTTCCTTTGATGTCCATCAATTTCAGTGCAAATTATTTTTGTGTTGGAAGTGAGCATAATAATAATACAGTAGAACCTCGTTTTTACGTACCCCAGTTATACGAATCCTCAGTTTTACGTACGCCTCGTATCGACGATGACGTCATAAAAAATCCCGAAAATATTCAAAACAAACGGCCCTTTTCAGAATAACCATAAGTAAAAAGACTATAATAATAAACTATAACAATAAACAAACCATAATAATGCAACATATTTTCATTAAACAGCAACATTGATTGAGTCTAATACCGGGTTGTTATAATCTAAAACCACGTAAACTGAGGGAGATGAACAACTACCGATGGTAGTTTCGTGTGGAAAACTCGTCTGGTCGAATTTTCTACACAAAGCTGGGTAGGCATAGTTTCGTACACGAAGGCTAATTGGTTGGCTGGCCGTGTGCAGTGCACGTGGTTGCTGTTTCACATAAAACGAACGCTAATTGGTTGCTCGCCCAATGCAGCGCACATGGTTTTAGTTTCTCTCAGCAGGCCCAGACAACACCCACCTCTGTTTGCTTAGAATAGCCATGAAGGGAAATTCCCAAGTTATACCTTTGTTGTATAGGTAACCTTACAATATTTTTATGTTCTTTAGTTAAATAAAAGATATAAAGTGATAAATTATTACACACAAACATGATTTTATTTGAACACTTTATTATGACATCGTAAAGCGATGAATAAAAACACTAAACACATGGTTTTATTCGTAGGCCTACACCTCCTAGAGGCTAGGTCTAGCCTAGGTAATATCGTTTGTTCGTTCATAAAATTGTTTATTGAGCGTTACGTACATATTAAGGTCAAAGGTTACCACAGATTTAAATCAAACTTAATTTTACGAATTCCTCGATTTACGTACGCCCTCCGGTCGCGTACGGTACGTAAAATGGGGGTTCTACCGTATATTGTTTTGTGTACTTTTTAACTTGAAAGTACATATTCACATAATTGTATTCACTTAGCAAACAGTTCACCTGAAAACAACAAATTGGTCTGTTGGTCAACATATTCATACAGGTGATGATGTATAATGAATGTAAAATCAGAATTAAGAAGGATTGTCAAATACGAATATACATGATATTTGTTTATAGTAATAGGCACAGGAATTGCTTATATTATTCACATTAAAAAATTCAAAGCCAAGACGGCTATTTGGGAGGTAGGTAGTGGCGTCCAACCTCCATGTTCCTCTTCAGTAGTGGATTCAAGGGGACCAAGCCGGCCCGGGCCTCCCCTAAATTGGTCAAAATCTTTAAAAATGAAGATATAAAGAAATCATATTCAAATTTTACGTCTCAGAATGCAAGATTTCCGGCCGCCTAGAGGTGCCATAATCACAAATTTTCTTACCTCGGCCCCAATCATGGTGGGCTGACGTGCCCTGGGCCACCTCTATTTTGCATTCCTGGATCTGGCACAGTATTATCTTCTAATTACTCATATGATTATACTGCATTGACTCAACTTTGTATCCAACAACTAGAGATCATACAAATATGTTTGTATATACTACCTTTCCTAGTAATCTTTCAACAAATTGATCAACCCTCCTGGAATTATTACTACTGTATAGTGTTACTGTTATATCACTCCTTCCTGGAATTACCAAGTTATGCAATATGAATTATAAAAAGGTTAAGTGAATAGAGACTATAACAAATCCCACTCTGTTATAATATAATCTTGTTTGAGATAGGCTGATGAAATTGGTATTACCATGCACTTATTTGCATGTAATTTGATCTACTGCATACTAAAAAAGATATTGATATTACCAGTTTTTAATTGGCAGTGCCATGACATGTTCACGTGACTCAATTCTAACTGATCATTATAAATACGGACAAGGTACACAATAAATTCAGCTAATCGAAGGGAATGGAAACTCAGCAAGTTTAATCATCAGGTTCACCATTTTTAATAAATCAGAGCACCGAAGAGACACCAATTTAAAGCATTGATTAGTTTTGGTACCTCACAACTCATTGTAAATAAGGTTGAAATTATATAATTTTTTTTCATGATTACAAGTGAATAAAGATTAATGGATTGATAATGCTTAATAATTTCACAATTGCTCTGGAGAATCATTAAATAATTAATCTCTTTGCACCAGATTCTTAAATTGGGAAATACTGTATTCAGAATATTTGGCCAATGTCTCAATATACAGCCGTTGTAGTTACGATTCTGCACATTTTTGTAGCAATATTATATGTAAATGTGAGTTAGTTTTGAGTATCCCCTGCACAGACAAAATACAAAATATATGGCATTTACAATGTTTTGATTCTAAGCTGACCTATTCTAAGATACACTTTAATAAGGACTTACTGTATTATTCCATTTTATCATATGTACCATAAGCCTACTAATAGGCTGGACATGTCAGGCTTGGTAAACATTAGCCTTCCTAAACAAATCAAATTCTCACAGCTAAAAGGCAGCTTTTTTTAAAAAAACCATATTTATAGAGGGTGACCCTTCCAGCATATCTTAGGTTGGCTGATATTCAGGGGCCCTCTTTAAATAAATGAAATAATGTGATGCTTATAATTATATCAGCAAAACCTCTTTTTGAGGCTTAGGCTTATGGAGTAGAGTTGTTTTTAGTTGTAAGAAAAGTCCTGATGCACAGGAATTGCACCTAGGAAACTGGGATTAGATGGCAAGCATCTTAAGATGAAGAGACAGACCCAAACTTCAGTACAAGGATACCACAAACAGAAACTTAAAGGACCTTTCCATACCATCGAAAGACAGGTATATGCTGGCTGAAGACAGAGTTAGATAGAGGTAATTTATTCACAGCAAATCAATCTTAATAAGTCAAACACAATGGAATAGAATGACGATGATCTGCATCTGTATGGTTACTGTGCAATTGCTTCGATCATGCCTTATTACAGATAGGCAATTCATAAAAGTGAATGACTTATTTATCATGATTCAAAAGGTACATTCTTAAACTTCATTGGTTTTTTTTCATTTGTCAATGCTCAATCATCTAATATTAATAACACAATTTTAAACCATGAAAATGTCACACAAACAATGCCTTTTTCTATCAATACACATTCTTCAGACTCATTCAAAACATTGGCACACACAAAACAGTTCTTTCTTAATCTTCATATTGACATTCACTAGGCCTAACCGTGATTCTGTAAACCCTACACATTAGTACTTACCCACTATCATGATGATACATTGTGTTTTGTGTATTTTCTGCAACAGAAATATTGTGACACTTGCTGTATGGTAAAATGTATTCAGAAGTCTTAAAAATGTTGTGTTAGAACTCAAGCGGAAATGGCAGAATGTCAATTTCTGCTCACGGCGTCTATAACTATGGCCGACATGGCAACGTCGATGATTGGCTGGTTTCCAGCAGATGACAATTTTTTGGAAAGTGATTGGCTGAAAAATGTTGTTGTTTAACAGAGGGCGCTATAAAATGTTTTCTTTGTGAGAAGGTACTTATCGACTTTATTTTACGCCAGGCTGGTCTAGGCTATTCAATCCATCTAGGGCCTAGGCGAGTCGACCATGAGAATATAAGGGGTCTAGGCTAGGTATTTTAACGTAAGTTTTAAGTAGGATTTTATTAAACGTTACGCAAAATATACCTTAATTTCAAAATTTCTAGGCCTAAGCCCTAGGGGGATCTGTATATACACAGGCCTAGGCCTAGAATAGGCTAACTCGTACCAATAATTGGCCAGCTTGTACCCATAGTTGGCAATTTGGCTAGCCCGTACCCAAGTTTAGTGTAAAATCCACCTTTGTGTCTCGAATATTATGCAATGAGTATTATCTATTTTGATAGTAATCATGTTAAACTATATTATAAAGACAAACTGACTAATTAGAAGATTTTGTACAGAAGTAAGCATGAAACATGATATATAAATTTATCATCATCATCAAGACTATATAACAATTTGGCGCTATTATAGTGCAGTCAGTCTGTGACAAAATTATATTAATGAACCTAGAAACTAATTGCAACAGAAACTAGTCGGCACCAGGATTGGACCCGGATGTCAGACCCCTGTCCGCAAATTGCTGGAGCGGAGCTTTTCTGTTAGTGTTATATTTAAAGGCAGAGAGAATTATCATGTATAAAAAATGGTTTTGATTTCAATTGTATACTGTAAGTGTACTTTCATGAAATTGGGAATAAAAATATATAATATAAAATGCAAGATAAAAAGATGATGCATTTAGATGAAGTACCAACACATGTATATTCAATTTAGGAGATACAACCACCGTTAACATTGTACAAAAATTACTTGCAGGAGCTTCTAAACACAGTGACCCGTTGGACTCATTAAATAGGCCTAGACCTATATTTAAAACTCACAATGTTCTCCTGATTGGATTTTAGTATGTTTTTGGGTAGGCCTATATTTCTAGAACAGATTCCGCAAAAATGATTTCTGTTGCAATTAGTTTTGGGTCATTCCATAAATTGACTTGACTATTACAGCAGTAGTGAGGGATTACAGACAATAAAAAAAAAAGGTAAAGGGAAAGGCAAACAATATGTTTTATTTAAATATCAATTCGACAAGGGAAGACTATAGGCTAGTACTAATAGGCCAGGCATAACATACAACAAGAAGTGCATAATTCTAAGTTCAACAAACTTAAAGCTGTCACTGGTAACTGATATGATAAGCCTATATATTTGTAAAGGTAGTGTATATTTTAATAATTTTCTGGATGCTTAATATATCGCGGCCGACCTGGTTTGGGGCCAAAACAGCATCCACCTGTGGACTTATGAAAACCTGAAATAATTTACTTCAATACTTGGTTATAAATTGGAAAGTGGTGGTGTGTGTTGGTAGGTATGCACCTTTAGTGAGAACAACAAAAAAGCACATTTATTATTAATTTCACTATAACAATTTCCCATCTTTTTAGAGATTCCTTAGCATAATGAATACCCCAATGGATACAAACAGAAGTCTTTTACTGGAACAACCAGGGAGTGAAGAGGAAGAAAGACTTTACAAAGAACTGTTGTTACAGGTAACTTATTGTTTGAAGGTTTGCATGGCGAAGTAATAACATATATGTTGATCTTGCGGTACACCACGTAGGTAGTTTTGAAAAGAACTGTTGTAGTCGAGAAAGTCTTGATGTTTCGACAGGTAAATTGTAATACAGTAAATGAAAAATGGTAAATTGTAATAAATGAAAAATACATTGTATGTCGGGTATGGAGTGTATTTCCTATGTCTTATACTATATTATGTTTACTAAATTATCTACATGGGGATTCGGATTGAGAAGTTCGTAATCGTTTAGTTCTGCAAAAAGGTTTCAGACGTTTAGGTAAAATCAAAGAGTAGAACTCCCGGGGTTACTGTATTTTGTTGAAACACAATCCTCCTATTATTGTATCTTAAAAAGTACTACCACGATCAAGAGAGCGTCCTTTAAAAGACAATAAAAAGCGTTTGTATCGAACGGGTGCTGCGTCCCTATGACACAATTTTGATGTGTTCCGTACTCTATTTGATTTCTAATAGGACGCCCCCTACCTCGTGGTAGTTGTACCCATCATGCACCTCCACTGGATTTACTCGCTCTTACAGGGTTAACTGCCAGACGATATATAACGAACATAATGTTAAAGGGGAAATAGACAAAAAACCAAAAACAAAATTAATACACATCATATAGCTTAATTATCTATTAAAAGATTCTTGCATATGTTTGTACCTATTGCATTTTAGTGGACGAAGTCTACCTGCTTTACTAGGGCTTTGCCCTTGGACCCAGCAGGTTCTAGACTGTGACAGTCCACTGGCCCCTTAGAAAAATAAGTAGAACTTGGGGTTCCATTCCATGATACGAAATTTTAATTATCTATCTGCTTTCATTGGCAGGCTTCACAGATGCATTCCCTGGAGTCAAATCAACCTGCATGTAACTTGGTACAACCAGAACCAGGGATGTGCCTGAAAACCAAAGATCTCCATGGTAACAAGGTTTTTATTAACATATGCCAGTCAATTGAAGTAAGTGATTTTTGTGGGTGTAGAATTTATTAAAAGGTTCAAGCTGTAAAATATTTTTGATACAATAACTGCCACCCAAAAATTAAGGAAAGAAATCTCAAAAATAAAATCAAATATTTGAATTGTAGCCTGTTTCTTCTGAGGAAAAAAGCACATGCTTTAACACAGTTATTCAAAAACACATGCTTTTGCACCAGCAGAAAAAACATGGTTAGAAATGCTTTCTCAAAATGTGTATTTTAACCCACATTATAAGGTTGGCGTTCAACTAACACGGTTTTGTGGTACACTTTTCAGCTGCAACGCAATACTGTTTGGTTATGACCTGTTGTTGACCCAAATTGACCTCTTTGTTGTTTCGTTCGCAGGAAATTCGAGACATACAGTAAAAACAATACAACCCTGTACAGGAAGGGTTTTTAACCCCCCACATAAATGAAATCAACAGGATGACATACTTTACAGTATGCTTACCATAATTATTTCACAGCACGCAGTATCTGACAGCAATGTCAACTTCAACTTTTGAGGTGATCGTCATTATAAGCTTCGCCCTCCCACCATGCCTGCGTTACCGTGTTTTTATTTGTTGCACTTTTCACTAAACGTATTCAAAAAGCACATGTTTCTGGTGTTATTCAGCAGAAACATTCCCTTACTTATTTAAAACAATCACATACCGGTATGTTATCTACTTTCAGTGAGTTACAGATCTAAAAAAAATGGTTAACTTCAAAAATCCTTAAATTTTCTGGCAGAAATTCAGGGGTATACAAAGTGTTTGTTAACAATGCTATAAATGAATATGAAATGAGATATTTATTAATATTCTTCATATTTCTTTTTTAGATGCCATCACCTGTGGATGTTACAGAGGAGGAGTTGACAGAGGTGCTAGAGTCTGAAGAGCCAGGTGATTACAGGGTACCCATGAGCCTAGGTGAAGCTCACGCAGAAATAGATAAAGGTTTGTTTAAATTAGAATTATAGTTAACAATGATAGAGAGCATCTTTGTATTTATGCAATTATTGTATAACTGGAGATGCATACATCATTTAATTGTTATACTGTAATAATAATAATAAAACAATCTTAGATTTACAATGGAAGCTTGTTCACCAAGGTGGTGTTCTTCCACAAGGCCGTATGTTTTACAATATCATGAAAACTTAACTATAAAATGAACAACTAAACAAAAAATACTTACCAAAACACACAAAAAAAATGAAAAAAGAACTACCAAATAAACTGTACGGTACTTAAAAATTATGTTGAAATTATCTTTTCAAAAATTTTAAGAGGAGTGGTACTATATTTTGTGGTGTCATCAATATTGTTCCACAAATCAGCACCACAATATGCCAAACTCTATTTCTTATACTCTGTTATTTGTAGATATGCTGATTCTCACTATAAGATATTTATGTAATGAATATTGATTACCAGCACTTGATTTTAATGATAATGATTCTTACTAAAATACTGAAGCCATTTTCTGTTCAAATATTCTTAGCTGGTCAAGGTTGCACAGCGTATGATGTGCTCATCAGTCGGGAATTCTATGCCAAGATAAACAAGAGCAACCTGTTCAAGGGCTTCTTCATTACAGTTATATATGAAGGAATTGAAAACAAATTCAAGGTAGCAATTGATAAACAGCATGGTAAGATCTTGACCCTTCCATCATCAATAATTACTCCTCCATAAAAACCCCTCCCCAGTTGTATCTGTCTCTTATACACATCTAGATGTGTATAAGAGACAGTATATATACCGTAAGTAAAGTATTATCATTATCATTATTTCTCTGTTACTATTTCTGTATTGTTGTGTTTGCTCTTGTCATATCATAGCCTGGACCATCTTGAAGAACCGCAAAAGCATGGGCCCTCTACAACAACATTACATCCGAACAAAATCAAAGCCAAGGATTTTAGAAATGGATTCAGCAGAAGAAATGTCACCGCAAGCATCACAAGGAGTAAAGAAATTAATTATGGAGGTCGATGATGATGAAGCTAACAAGACATCGATCCCTGAACCAAAATATGAAATAATGCGAGAACCAATTGACGGGCATCCAGAGTTCTTAGTAGTGGAGGTGCAGCTACCAAATGTGGTAAGTTTTTCGTTACACATTTTAAGCACAGCATCAGTTAATTTTTAACAGTTTACACAAATCACCACTATTTTAATATAACTATATAGTATATACATAAACATCAAAAGTCAGATTCTAGTCTTGTACTCAGTCATTAAGCTAATTTAAGATAATACATTTTAGTTAGGTACAGTTAGTTTAAATTCTGATATTAGAAGGTACATCATACAGGTATTATCACCAATGCTTATGTTTTTTTGTCTTGTTTTGAATCATGGATAGAAAACATCCAAATCACTTATCCTGGATTTAGGTGAAGATCGGATCCTACTGAAAGCTAGGCCTAATGTATACCATCTAGATATTTACCTTCCATTTGATATGGTTCAAGATGAGTGCGGTGCTCAGTTCAACAGAGATAATAAGGTATGGGGAAAATGTGTGATTTGGGCTCAACCTTCATATAAAGTGAAAGGGAACTTTGTTTAGACTGTCAGTGAAGATCAGTCAGACATTTTGATAAAAGTGTTATTTATCGTATTATTATTATTATTATTATTATATAATAATAATATTAAAATAATAATTAATATTATTATAATAATAATAATATTTATTCATAGTTTAAACTGTGCATGTCTGTAGAGAATGTAAATCGACATAAACAATCATTAACACAGGCCTCCAAATAGGCATGGTTTTTTGGAATTGTCTAAATTTTTAGGAAGCTACAAGTAGCAGTAAATTCCATATAAATATTAGTTTATTAGTTGATGCAAGTATTCTTTACACTATGCATCACAACACAGTGTACTATTTTCAGACAATTCCCAAGGCCACCCCAAGTCTTAGGCCTAGCTTGTGTATGTTAAATGATTGCTTATGTCGACTGACCCTTCAATGTGGAAAATTCCTAAGGCCACCCCCAAGTCTTAGGCCTAGCTTGGTCTAGCCTAATTTGTGTATGTTAAATGTATGTTGATTGACCCTTCACTATGGGCATGCCCAGTTCAAACTACCAATTGGCTTATAGTTATAACATTTTATTTGCCAATTTGAAAAAGAATTATCAAAAGTGCTGTTTATGTTACTTGCTAAGTTCTTACAACTTTTATATACATCTTTGTTTTCAATTGGATTTAATTTCTTTTCATTATTCAGGTGTTAACCCTCACGCTACCTGTCAAGCCAATTTGAACCAATCTCAAGAAGGCAACAACAGACACCTGGATTTGTTGATTATTCTGTTGGATCCAATGACATCCAATGGGAGAAGATACTTGAAGATTAAGTAAAATTTCAAGCAACTGACGATGATTTGTAGCTACAGTGTAATTATAAAAATAATTGTGAAGCTACAGTTTCAAACTGAAATCTCTGCTTTAATGGGCCTAAACTTGCGAAAAATGGTGGCTTTGGGCCAGCTAGAGTGAACATGCAGATGATTTCAAATTGACAGCCAACCTGGCCCTGTTTCATCTCTACACTGGAAGTTGTTTTGGGCTAGCTTGATGCCAGCTTCATGCAAGTGTAAATATTACTGGACTTGTGCCTAGCTTAAGAGTATGAGGTCATGGCTAAAATTAATTTCTTGAACACAAGTCATAGCCATTTTAGAAAAAATAAGTGAATGGCAGTTTTTAATCTTGTTGGTCTTCTTTCCTTCATCCACATCAATGAAATAGGTTCACAATAATCTTTAATTTCTTTCTGCTGTACAAACCAATACTCGAAATATATAAAGAAAAGGTTTTGTCTACAAACTACACACAATGTAGTCAATGTAATCACTCATGAAATACAGTAGTAGTTGTGGACAATTCCACCATGTCTAACATTCTTGGCTGCTACATTTGAACTGAAGCCTAAACCACAGTAAACAGAACAATGATTATGCTAATTATTAAGTAGCATTATGCATTTATAATGCTGAAATATCTTGCATACTATATATTGTTACATTTGTTTATCATTTGTCTACTTTGGCTAGATCCATATACAGTACCATTAGAGGTCAGTAAAACATTAATTAAAGGACAATATATGCAAAAGCATTTTCAATAATAAAACTGGCAAGAATTCTGCTTTAAAAATAAACACAAACATATATGAAAGACACTATGTGGTAGGTATGAAGAATCCTTACATTGTTCTGAAACACATCCAGGAACTTCATGAACTAGCTGCCACTAAAAACGGAAATGTCTTGGAGAAACTGATCAGAAATTTATATTTGTGTAAAAACTTTCTGCAGTATAATTAGTGTATAAAACATCACGAAAACAAATTGAGTAGATCCTTGATACATATTTTCATCTGACCTTGTTTGTAATACCAATCCAATTTCATAGGTTAAGTATAGCTAGTTCCTGAAACACTTGTGTTCAAGGAAATTTAAATACAGTATCAATAAACTGTCCATGTTAGTTGCTTCATTTGTGAATTTGGTCCACGAAACTCTTCCAGAGCTTGTCTTGATCGTTCTGGAATATAATGTAAACAGATCCATTGAGTCAATATAGAATTTCTTAGGTGTACAAGAATAAAAATAAAACACAATGTATATGTACTATTATATCCAATGTTGTTTACTGTCTATGTACTTTTGTCAACACATTTCATATACAGTTTCATATATAGTAGGTTGCATTTGGCCTATTTATTCAGATCTGAGATCCGCAGATATGCTTTTTCTGTGCACTCAATAAATGAATGGAACTCACTACCAAGTTTTGTCGTAATTGCTAAATCTATAAATCAGTTTATTTGCAAAGGCTCACAAAAACCACCCGAAACTCTATAATCCATATTACGAACTTTAATGCCCATGCACGAGGGGCTCATAAGCAAGACGCTTCAAGTAAACAAGTAAGTTAAAAAGCAAGTAATAAATTAATATGTAGTATCATAATGCCTGCACAAAGTGAGCAGATTCAGTAGAACAAACCAAGGACCATTAAACCTTGCAAAACTTCACTGGTGTCGGCAGTGCATGCGATTACATGAAATTCTGACACCATGATGCATTGCATGATGGATCATTTTCAATGACGTTCTAGTGCCACCGATGGACACGGCACAATGATAGGACAATGACAAGCTTTAGATAGGAAAACAAGCATCTTAACATGACTGCTACACACTCGTCTGTGTGTACGGAGTATTGTATAATTGCCGGTCTTACTGTGATTGTTCTCATAAGCATTGGCGCATTATAAATATTTGATTTATTATTAACTTGTTTTGTAAACGCTCTGAGGTCGTCCCAGTCAGCACAAGCTCTTAAAAGATCTATAATTATTCAAAAGAGTGGGTATTTTTATGTTCCTTGTATTCCTTTGTAAACTCTGCACAAAATGTGCTATGTACTTGTACGTCGCATATGATACAAAATTACACTGTTCCCTGCGGCAATCAACTTTCTGACAGTCATTCTGTGAATTGCCATCAACCACCAGTTATCATGTTTACAACAATTCCATGAATCGCCATCACCCACCTGTTATATTTGGACATCCATGGAAGATCAGAAACGAGACCCGAGGACAGAAGCCTACAATGGCCTCGACAGCTTCATCCGTAAGGTGACAGCAGTGGTCCATGTGCACTTCCTTCAGTGATTGTTTGCATACACCCATGGCTAGACTTAAAACACCTTCATCAGTTACCTTTGACAACAAACAGAACAGCAAACATTATTACTGTAATTGAAATTATGATGATACACAACGATTACAGTATTAATAAAATCAGTACATTATAGATCAATAGATTGCTTTATGCCAATAAAACTCTGGTTTATAAAGAGACTAAAATAACGTTTTTGGTAGTGATCTGATAAGTAAATCTAACAAAAACTTTACCAAACACTTATAAAGACACAAAAATGTGGAAGCAATAAAGCAATTTTTATTACTTCCAGTATTGCATTATATAATTTATATTTCAAAGGATGAATTTAGAGATGTTCTATTTAATGTTTTGTAAGCCTACATTTTCCTTTGTCTAAGGATTAAGGAAATTTTAACTGACTTTTGGCTTGGAAGTAAGAGCAAAATTATTACACTGTTTTCCATTTGAGCTTACCTGTGTTTTGGAAAAATTTACACTGCTCAACATCCTCGAGTTTTGTCCAAGTGCAATCAAAGAGGCGTCAGTTATCAGCTGACAACCACCTACGTTCAACTGCAACACATGTCGGCAGTTCTGAGCGATGGCGATTATAGCGGAGTCGGTGAGGAGCGTACATCTTCTCAGATAGATTGTCTGCAAGTGGGGACATGACCTGGATACAGCTTCTACACCTGAAAGATGATATGGTTTTAAATTGAATAATAAACATCAATATTAAAAATATAAACAATAAAAATAAACAGTAGCAAAATACTTTAAAATATCTAATTGTTACTCATAAATAAATTATAAAGTAATAACATTAATAAAAATGGTACTACAACAGTAATAATAGTAGTAATTCCAAGATTGAGCAAAAATTCTTCCTCACCTAGTGATGTTATTGTTAACCTATTGTCTTTAGTAGCATTCAGGTCGATTTTGCGAAGATTCCGACAAACAGATAGTTTCTGAAGACATTCATCAGTAACATCACATTCACTAAAATCTAATGCCTTTGTTCTGTCATGAACAAGCTGTTTTAAGACAAAAAGTTAATGTATGGTGAAGACAAGATAATCATTAGAATTACCGGTAATCAACTGTTAATTACTATATTTATAATGTGCAACCCCAACAGTTTTTGCAAGTTTGTAATACTGTACACTACGCATTAGAAAGGGCCTTCCACTGCTGCTGTAAATCCGAGGCTCGACAGCAAAGCTTTTTGCTGTTGAGTCACCTGACTTAGCAATGGATTATACACTTACATTTATAGAATAGGCCTATATTAAAACAATTTACAAAGCTTGTTGCTGTAGAAGAATAAAAAATTGCTGTAGTAAAGCCCACAGCAACTATTTGCTGCAGGAGCATTTTGAGGAAATTCGAACCCTGCTGGATTGAAAAATGGATGGATTTTTATTCAATATTTGTTTCTTATTCATCTGTATTTTTCTGTATTTTTTATGTTCTCCTACTTGGAAGTGTTTCTGAATAAAATTTGAATTTAAATTTGAATAGTACTGTTTTTTTTTAATTATTTGAGGATTTAATTAAAATAAATCTGTATTAATTATTAATACCTGTAAGTAATTACCTTTGAAATATTTGAGTCATTAAGAAGTCCTCTCTTACTCAGTAAATGCAGGAATTTATCTTTCAAGTTTGGAGGAAGCATATGCAATTCATGTATATGGACACCTATTTCACCAACCACAGCATGCAAACTCCTGGACAAGAAGAGAATACAATAATAATAATAATAGAAATGGTTATTCTCCCCCTTCGTTCGTTTCCTGAATAAGGAGTTGCGAAGTATCCGTTCAAAGTCTTCCTGCATGCCATAGTGCATACATGAAAGATACCGAGACTGAAGTTCAAAGCTCCATTGATCAAGACCCCTGAGTTCGCAAAATAATACCTAAACTTAAAGTGGGCCAGTGGCATTGTTCAGTTTTAGTTTTATTAATATTATCAATTTAGGCCTAGGCCCAGCCTGGCCTAGTTAGGCAGCTTAAATCAAACTTTTTGGATGAATAAATTGCACATTGATGTATCTCAAATATATATTTTAAATAAAAGATCAGACCAATCCTAGGCCTATGTATAATGTACCATTTCTACGACTAAACACAGAACTGACAAATGTTGGATAACCTTGCTCTGTCCATCCATCAACATTATAGGCCTGGCCTATGGTTTGTGTTTGCCGGTGCCTGTCGCAGCCAGTAGAGTTGCCTGCCTGCAATGATCCCGGCTGCTTTGGATACCTAGCAAATTCCTAAACTATATTTGGATGGTATACTTAGGCCTAGCTATTATTATGTCATAAAATCATCATTAAATCAAAATATCAATACAGTAAATGAATTTGTCTTATAAAGACATACGAAGTAAGGAGGGATGGAACTGCTCCGAAATTTGTGTTTACCGCCGCCATCTTGAATCTAATGTTTACATCCAGGTTGCCACGACGTACACGTAATTTTTACCCTTTGAATGTTATGGTTGTGCTACTATTTTTGTAGTACAGTAATACTGTTTTACACTACCCATTATTTTTTAAACTAATATAGGTTTGAAAAAGAATTCAACACAGATCTTTTTCTTTGATTGAACTATTATTTTTTTGTTTATGAATAAGTGCAATGGCAAGAATATTTTCATTTGTTGAAAGAGTGACTGCTCAACGGGCGGTCAAGTTGAATTGAATGTAAACTAGGGCCTAAGCCTAGTCAATCTTTCAACGAAGGAAAATATTCCTTCCATTGCATGAATACAAAACATTTAATTTTTGTTTTATAACACATCTAAAATAGACCCTTAGTTCTACTTCATGGAACAGTCCATCTTCTCTCAAACAACAAATGCAAATATTGTATTGAGGTGTGCAATGGGACAAAACAAATGGAAGAAAAGTACACAGATGGAACCAAAGGTTATAGTATGGCTAAAGTTTAATGAACAGGTGAGGCAAATCAATGTGATTGTTTTGCTAGTGGCGAGTCAAATGGCCATGCGGTTAAGGCAGAGGCGCCACATCCATAATATCTGTGCTGGTTTGAATGGCACGCTCGTCTATGGTCCGGTGGTAGAACAAGTCTTCTCGGCTATAAACCGTAGGCGCCCAGTGTACACAATTGCTCATGTGCATTATCTAGAACCCAGTACATCATTTGAGAGGAGTAGGGGGAACACCAGCGTACTGGTACAAACAGCCCCTGTGGTGGATGACATGAATTGCTGGTACTGGGTTACCGGGTAGCACACAAACCCTTAAGGGACGCTTAGGGGCGAAGAAAGTTATTGATTGATTTACTATTCCACTGGATGCATAGTTCGAATGTATACAAGTTTATTTTTGTTGTATGGAAATTTGTTCCGAAATATAGTAGTGCCACAAGCATCTTGTTTGATGGATACTGGCACTATACAAATCTACACTACAGTATAATTATTAATAAATGGTGTAATTATTAATAAATGGTGTAAATACCCAATATCTTTTAATACGAAATTCACCAATTTAATGACAAGGATCTATTTAGGTGTGTTAATATAAAGAATAGTTTTCTTGATCAAGTATCACGCCCAAACTCTGCTCATATCAAGCTCAAAATCAGATGTTTGCTTTGACAAATCAAGCAAGGATGCCCTATCTTTCATTCTATTAACCATCTTTCATTTATCAATTAAATGATAGAAGCAGGCAGATTATTGAATTAAACTTGTTCCATTAACGTTCATGACAAAGCTAATGCAACTTCTTCTGTAGTCTGTCTTAATATTTATGTTTTTAGGCTAAGTAGATTATTTGATGTGCTTATTTGAACTCTGTCAGCAAGGTCTCATATTTAAAACCTAAACAGCAGTACTGAATTATAAGAAATATTCAGAACATTCACAATACATTAAAATTTTAAAAACATATTTTCACGTACAGTAATCAAAATCTTCTTTTTTTCCCTTTTTTTGTTTTGCATAATAAATACCAGCTGTATTTGAGTTCTCTTGTATATTTGTAAATTGATAAAAAACAAAATAAATTCACAAAATGATGCAAAATTTCATCTTATAGTTTATTATCAAAGCCCTTCCTAAAAATCATTGACAAATAAAGTAAAAGTTCGGAAGAAATGCTCACCATATTATCTATATTCTGAAGATAATTAACAAATTTATGAACTAAATTCATGCCATTAAAAGTGAGTCTCAAGCTAAAACTTTAAAAAATTATTTTGCAAATGCTTTTAAGAACATGAAACAATTACAACACAGAACCAAAATGAATTATGGCAAAAATTATAGACAAAAAGCCTTTGGCAACTAAGTAATAGTGATACGATTGTTTAGGATTGAAATACCTAGATAAACCATTTCATTCCATTGACGATTGGTCTGCCCTTGGTAAGGAACAATTAGCATGAATTGCTTTATAAAATATTCTGTGCCCTGGCAAAGGATAACAAATAAATATTCTTTTTCAATTATTAGTTTTTTTTCTGTTCTAAAAATAATAACTGAGCATTCTTCTAAAGTTTTCAGCATAAAATAATCTTAATAAAAATATATGAATAAATTAAAAACAATTGTCTCTTCTTCAAATAATTATAATATATCAATACCCTGATTTCCTCACACAAGTACATAATTCTGAAACAAGCTAAAGCGAGTGAAACCTTTCTTTTCCTATGCTAACTTCATATAAAAATACAATTTTAGTTTTTAAGTGCAGATTACTTTCTACAGCTAGGTATTGCCTTTATTTAACACAGCGCGATTGGCTTACAGACCGCTTGCTATACTTATCGTAACTTTTATAACAATAATATCTGAATATGATTAATAAGTAGATCTCAGTTTATCAATAATTGGTATTATCAATTGTGATCAGACCTAACATTTATACCCACAGATTATATAATTCTTTAACGTTGGAAGGAGTGGTAGGACAAAAAGCACAAGCGCCTACTTGTAAATAGGCCTATGGTGGGTATAGGGCCTATACACAGGCCTCAGGTGGGTACAAGGCATAAAACACAGGCCTTTTAGGTGGGTATGATATATTGACACAGACAAGAGCCTTAGTTGGGTACAAGGCATAGACAATTATATATCTAAAAAAGTGCAGACCAAATATGCACTTTTTCACACAAGATTACATAATAATCTGAAAGTAAGTAAATTAATGCTTAAAATGCAACTACAGGTTAAAAGTTGACGCAAGTGCCAGGTGGTTCTAAAAAAAAATTGAACAATTAGCATTCCTTATGCTTATAAAATAGAAAAGGCACATGAATGAAAGCTTTTAGATATTCCAACATATATGATTATCAATTATATAAAATATGAAACCAATATACCAACATGATACACAATGCTGCCATCATTTCAAGGTGTAAGATAATTAACAAGGTGTACAATTAACATATTTTTAATTAAGAATGTGTAAATAGTGCACATCTATTGAATAAACTTAAACACAGTAACATGATACAATGGAAAAAATCAGTCAATTTATGTGTTATTGCCTCATACAACAGTTATTTTTTGCACAACACTTAAATGAATCTTAATGTAAAACTTCAAAATTAAAGATAAATATTAATAGGTCTGTATTGATTGATAATCTTATGGTCTTTGACATAATTTTGCAAAAATTCTTAGTAAATTCTATTGCAATGATTTATTGTTTACAAATTTTTGCATGAAGTAATTTTCATTTTCTTAGTTCACTTATTAATTGCACATAATCGGATTTTCCTTTGCGTGACTAATCAATATATTTAAAATTGTTTAAGGTGTTAGAAACTATAATTTTAATTCTCAAGAAAATTTGTAAAATTCTTTAAAAGAAATGCTTTCTTATACTATACTATAAATGTTACAATAACTTTCAATATATAATCACAAACTTTGAATTCTGGTAAAAAAAGATATTTTAAACCAATAAATTTAATAAATAGTCTAAGTACTGTGAGCAAAACAGAAAGTACCCCCTCTATATTCCAAAACCAAACATGCATGCTAACATTAGCTTCAATTATATAATACAGCCAATACGACAGATTTCAGCCAGCATAACCTTCAAAAATGTTTTACATCTATTACTACATGTGTAAGAAAATATACATGCTCTTTTTAACATACTAAGTTCATAAGCTCTTAATTAATCAGCTTAATTATTAACTAGAGCTTAATTGGAATTTAGAAGAGAAATTTAACGTAAACATAAATTGCTCATTTTATAATGTGCTAATCAGATGTATTAAAAAAAAACAATGTGGCATTTTAACAAATTCTCATGATACACCAGCTACATGTAAATTACACTCTAACAGTTATTGGTGGTGTCGCATATCACGAGCTACACGCTGTGTAAAAGCGAATCGTAGAATGGAGAGTGCAGAATGTTTACATTAACCAGTATGAATATATTTCATACAAATCACATGAACATGTGGGATTACCACCCACATCATTCTTACAATACATAAAACACTGCAATGGTTTTAAAGAAAAATTCAGATTATATAACAACTATTTTACTCTAAATTATCAGCGATACATAATTTATTTTAAGGTAAATAATTTTTCTTAAATATTTTGTAAAACTTCCAACTAAAACAACCTATACATAATTGTCTTATCAAAAAATAAATATTAATTTCTTTGTTATACTAAAAATTTTATCACAGGTGTTACACTATTTGGTGCAAAAATACTTAAAACTATTAAAGCTAATTAATAAGCAAGGTGATACTAATCCTAAATAAATCAACACAACTAATCCTAAATAAATTAACACAGGTTTTGCTTTCAATTGCACGGAACCCTAGCAAAGTAACAATTCCATTAAAATACTTCCATGTTTATGGAAATACTTTTAATGGACACAACAATCTAATTTCCACTTTTTACAAATAAAACACTAATATACAACCTCTCAGAAACCATTAAACAAATATTAGCTGAAAATCAAGTATAAGCATTGAAATTAATTACCTACATCTGTTCGGTGGTGCATGGTTAAGATGGAAGCAATGAGATGTTTTGTTTTGCTTGAATGCGAGCTCATTAATAAATGAGTGGCAAATCACACACACGTTTTATTAGCAAATTTTAAGGTGGAATTTTTTTGTTAGAATTCTCCTTCATATGTGATAAAACAGTTTCTGTTCCTATAATATAGAGTGGTATTTCTTTATGATCTAAATATATTTGACAATCAGAGTTTAACCCCTTTTATTCTACCTGGAAAAAGAATTTATACCTCGAAACAGGAGCAAAAACCATTAGAATAAATATACTGTACTCCAAAAAAATGGAGATTTTATCATCTACAATTGTTTTAGAAAACTCCAATATTCTGTGTATCAAAAATTTACCAATGATTTGTCTATATAAATTCAGTCTAAAGGAAGTTGTATCATTTTTATTTATTATTGCCTATGGATTTCAATTTATTTGAGAAAAATCTACATGAACAAGATGTAAATATTTGGATCTCTAATTTCTGGATAAATTAAACCTACAATTACTGGTGGGTAAATATTTGTCTCCCTACTTTGTAATTGTTTACATGGGATGATTTGTGATTTTTTTTTTCATTACATGATTTGTAAACATTTTTTTATTTCATATTAGTTGCAATAGTTTATTAATATCTGACAGTATAATTTGTTTCCCTATCTTTGTGACATAGTAGTTAAGCTCCTGCCTTGTAATGCCAAAATCCTAGGTTCAATCCCTGAAAATTTTTCTATAAAGCTCTCAATACTATCAAATTTTACGTGACAAAAAAATGTGATATGACCATATATAGACATGATGTGCCTATATATGATTATGATGTGATGTCATCATTACCATATTTAGGCATGTCACATGTTTCTGTCAAATGAAATTTAATAGCCTGGACAAGGCTTAAAACAACCAATTCCTAGTTTCTTATTAGTAACTATATGAATTGACAATTTTCTGCTGAATTACATTCCCCTTGGTCCAGATCCTGCAAATTCTCCCCTCGCCCCTATTGATTCAATCTACTTCATCCGCTAAGTATGCATACTATCATTATGCAGTATCTTTTGAGATCAGTAGCTTGCTATAGAAACGACTCCTAGTTTAAAGAATAAATTAAATTATTTTACTGTGATTTGGATGTTTCAATGTTGATGGAGACAGCTGCGGTAATTAATCTTGATGCTTGCATTCATAATATTCATCTTGTGAAATCCTCAAATCCATTTCAAAGGACACATTAGCGTGATGGCATTCGTATATAGATACTGGTATTATCACATTTCACATACAATATGCTTCAACTTCCACCATCAACCTGATTTCAATAAATAATCTCAGATCTACAGTGAATATAAATAGGATTCATTTTAAATTTTTTTTTTGGTCAGATTATCATATATTTTCTTTAAATACTTTTGTTATTGATATCAGCTGGAAGTATTTCAAAATTTTTTTCTGATAAATATAAATTTGTTTTTCTTTTTTATCATCTTGATGTTGCACGTTTTGTACTACCAGGTCGGCTTCTACTCGGAGGGCTCCCTTTGTATCTTGCATTAATGACGAAGAAATCATCGGGTACAGGAACGCCCCTTTCATCCGTTATCTGACGGCTTACGCGAACCATCTTGCAAGCATCATGCTTTTCTAGGAAGTGTTCTAACGTGTCCCAACCGCCCCCTACACGTACCATCACATGCCGGCCCCGTAGCATCTGCAAAAAACAATGAATTTTATTTTAATTTCATAATATTTTATAAATGCAGGTTTTGATCAAGATGACAATGATGAAGATCTGTCACAAATCTCAGAAAGTCAACCTATTTCAACAGAGACAGACCAAAACAACTTCCTTTTTTTGATTTACTAATAATTTACATAATAATAATAATAATAATGAGAATCTGTTTTGCGTCGGTATCCATCTAGAAAGTAAGCAAAACCAATTCAATTTACAGACAGTTATATTATTAATGGCAAAAAATATGTATTCTATGGAAACATATTAATCCAATGAAAACAAATTAACTACTTTAACTGAAGTCCTTGTTATATGAGACATAAAGATTAGAAACACAATTAAAATGGACAACGCAACATGATGTACACATACATCTATAGGTAAATTGCGGCACTCTACATGTTTCACTAAATCAGTGGTAAATATGTAAATCTCTTTATGTAGGACAACAGCTTCAGGAGCTAGCGAACTCATAAATCTTGATTTAGATAACTGAATCATAAAAAAGCTCACTCCATGAACATAACAATTGTATAGTAGTTTAACATAAACAGCAATATCTTATTAGTTTTCTATTTGACTTTTTTTTTATAACTTATTATATTACCTACATTGATTTCAATTTAATTCACTTTTTTTGCCAAAGCTTTTTGATAGAATTAGTTCAAAATTTTGATATACAGAAAAGTGTAATGAAATAAATGTTTTTGAGAGGAAAAAAATCATTTCAACTTTCAACTTTAACCTATAATATACTAATCTGAAAGTAGACTACAGTACCATGCGGTAGATAAAAATCAATATATGGTAGTTAATGGTAAAGAATAATTATACATTGAAAATATTATTCATTTTCACCACATTGTAAGTGTATATTTAACAAAATCAATAGAAAGTACTGTGAAAAACCCAAAGAAAACAATTCTATTGGGTATGAACCTTTGTAAAGGAAGATTTTAAGCAGCAACTCAAAAGCAAAACTCCCCTATAAATCATACATTAATTTTTCTATGGCTGTTAAAATGTAAATATACTGAGCTATCCATATTCGATTGGCTTTGACATACACAGTAGCTTTATTTGTATAGATACTCAATTGTAAATTTCGCCAATGTTACTTATGTCAAATACATTATATTAAATATTTACCGAAGTGCAAATATGACGATGTACATGACATATAGATATGCATACTGATATGTACACTATAGTAATTATGCAGTCAGGTATGGAACTGTATAATAATTCACATATATTAATCTAATTAAGCCTATGTATACTATTCTACTAATAATAAAAGAAAACAACTAAAAAGCAACAACTATAATGCACATTTTAATCTCTGTGCAAGCATTTCATATCACATAAATGAAATAACAACAAGAAACATCTTTTTGTAATTCCTGTACCACTCAAACAGTTGCCAAGGCTAATCAATCAAATTTCATAATTTATTCAATGGAAATGATCTAAATTAATTACTTACTTATTCTATATTAGCAGATGGTCTGCACCATATTGTATGTGAATTTAATACTCTATAGATATTTGTTGTTGACGTTTACTAGTTATACTATTAATATGACTGGTCGGAAACTAGCATACTTTAAATGATACCCTTTCTTGTATATTTTATTTATCTATTTTATTCAATCGTATTTAACAAGAATAACCCTTCCTGCCAATGAGTTGACAAATGGGAGGCCTTAAAAACAAGACAATTCATAGAGAGTATAACATTTTTTTCCCCTCAAACTCTTTAGCATCAAGTAGCTCGACTCATCTGTTTTATATGTCCCTCATTTTAACCATATCAAACTGATTAGAAAAGAAGGGGTTAGCCCGATAATTTGGTTTATTTCAGATGGACTGGAAAGGGCTTTATGTGTTATTTTAGTACCTTGCTGTTTGTTCAGTCAAGTGCCTTGTACTAAATCTTGAATTTGGACCAAAGTTTAAAAGGTATTTAAAACCAATGAAGGCTTTTAAGTAGAGTTCAGTTAGTACGACAAGTGGATTTAGAAAGACCAAATAAAACCAAGTATATAAATGATAATGATAAATGAGGATTTCTATATTAACAGCGCTATTGATATGAGCTCTCCCAATACTGCAAACGTAAAGATGTAATGCTTCAAACAGCATTTACATGATCATCCGTGTTATATGGTGGGTCACCAAGATATGGTACAAGGCGTATAAAAACAATCCAGATTACAATACTACAAATGTTCATTTATTCTGATTCAAATCTGCTGTAAGCCAAGTCTAATTTATATAGCTATAGTTTTAGAAGATTACATAAAAAAACCAAATAATCAAGCTTGACGTAAGAGTTTGTTGTCTGACATTTCAGTTACGTTTGTTATATCTGTTTATTCATTCATCCTACAAAAACTACTCTACATAATCGCTTGTCAATTTGTTTTGATAGGTCGTTTAGTCAGTTGCGTGACGTATTCAATTTACAATTTAGACAAATCTTCTATCGGTCATTCACAGAATGTTCTGAGAAAATCATGAGACTCAAGTAGGACACTGCTTGTGTATTAAGTACATTATAATGCCATATTATTATTTTTTAAATTATTATTCTAAATCTATTATCTCTCTATTGTATTGATGAAGCATGCATACTGTATTGTATTGCTGTGTCACTGATTAAAAAAAAAAATTGTCTTATTTCAGATTTCCTGTGATTTTATTATACAAAACCTCTATATACTATAAATAATCTGCATTTTATTATTCAATCCAATCCAATCCAAGTATGGATACCGTACAACTGTACTGCTGCGTCATAGATAATAGAATCTTTTTTGTTTTCTTTTGAAGTCTTTCTATAGAAGTCTGAGAGAGCTATGATAGGGCTGATATTAGTATCGACCCTCCTTCCTGACCAATCTCTACATGCTTTCACTGCCCTTTCTAATTTGATAAACAAACCCGTATAAAATCAATATTTGGATAAAATAATTGTTAAAAATGAGCAAATAACCTATTCAACGATTTCCTACTGACTTCAATCCAATTATTTCTACAGTGGAATGTCAACTAAAATTAGCAATGATGTACCAGCAACAAGATTTGAATACACTTGATTTTACAAATTATCCAGTTTACGAATAATTAATAATTAATTGGTTTTAGAAAATAAAAAGTGTGTACAACTAATAAATACAAACCAGATCCTTGGTATATTTGGCATTTGGTACATTTTGTTTAAAAAAAAACCATCTTCTGTGTTCAATTTATAAAAATAACAACAATACAAACAATAACAATAAATAGTAACCATGTATTTCCTTTCAAATAACCAATGAACATGGAAAATACTCAACAGCTCAAAATTTGAAAGTGGAACATTAAAGTACAGTATGCATCTTAAAATTCTTAATAGAATACAATAGTTGTACATTTGGAGCTATTTTATAAAAAAAATGTTTTAGTTTGAGTTTAAAGAATTAAATTATTAGCCAGACGAGTTTCTGATTAGTCACAGGTAAGATAAAATAGAATGGACTCCATAGGTAGACACACCATTGTGTTGTCATTTTCAATTCTTTATTTGAATGTACAGTAGAACCACTCCTTTGGGACACAGCTATTAAGAAGCAATCCTTATTGCGAGGACAGACCTATAAGGGGACCCTCTATTAAGGTGACACTTTTTCGGCTACAAAATAAGGGAAAGGATATATTTTAATACCACGACCAACCCCTATTCAGGGGACACCCCTTTTACTCGCACACTTTTTATGGTCTTGAATGTGTCTCCTTAATAGTAGTTCTATTGCATTAAAGGAATACAAATTTGTTACTATTTATAACATATATATAATATATACATATAGGCAAAAAAAAAATGATAACAATACTATTTGCACTTGATAACATTTAAGATATTGATTTAATAACATATTGGAAGACATATCCAAGGCCAAAAAAAACCACATTATTTAATTTATATTAACTTGGATTAATCAAGCTTACCACACAAGCTAAAAAAATATGTTAATTCATAATAAAAATTAATCAGACACACAAGAAGGAAAAAGTTGCATACACATATTAGATTTCACATAAACATATAGACATGCACGATAATTCAAATGCATGTATGTTACGTACTGTATGCACATGTGTGCATGTACACATAATGCATACATAATGTACACATGTGCACATGCATAATATTATCAGAAAAAGATTTAATAGAAATGGTGACATTGATATTATTAGAGACAAAAAAAACCCAAGTCAAATAACTATAAGAACAGAGAGAACTGCTGTAAGCTAAAGAAAAAACAGCACTACAAACTGTAAGTTTGAAAGTAAAAATAAAATAAAAATACAATGCTAAGGCAATAATAAATTTGCTTTGTAGAACAGAAATCAACTAGAATAGCTGGCCAAAGGAAAAATGTTTATCGTTTATTAGTGCATCAGATTTAACAACATTGTTAACAGAAGATTGGATATAAATGCATTAGAAATTAGGAAATTAGATGGTATAGAATGTATCTAATTAAGTAGGTAAGCTTTAAGGGTATGAATACTAATTATACTGTAGAATATTAAAATCACTAAGGTATTCTTACAGTACACAAGGATCTACCATCAACAAACTGCGAATGGTATTTGCTAGTAGGCCTATGTCAGGTTAATTACTAAATCCTCATTTATTACTTGCTTACAATAGGGCAGGTCAATTACAGGTTAATTGCTGTTTATCTTCATTATATTACTCATTTGAAGTGTCTTTCTCACCAACACGAGTCATAGTAGTACATATAGCACACTTTAATTATCGGTGAGAACTTCTATGTATATTATGCTAAATGCCACCTCACTCATAACCAATCAACCAATCACAGGATTGGACAAATTAGGATGTTTACATTTTTAACCAGAAAAGAAGAATACATTTAGTTACAATAAATAATCATTGGACATTCTTACTAGCATTCCAAAAGTAAACATTAAAAAAAAAAATAAGAATAAAAACTGATCTCATGATCTACTTCAGAAGAGACCAATTATACTAGCCTTAGTATTTGAACTGCACAATATGATTTGTAGTATATTGATTAAACATTGTAATAACAATACAAACAACCTTGATGTGCTTGCGAATTTACAGCTATTTGAAAGGTCTCTTGACATTAAAGAAGTCTCATTACATGGTGAAAGCATTCGCAACAGATAATCAACTATCTAACGTTTCATACCTGACTGAAATTGGAAGGATTTTCACCTCAAATCTGCCTGAAGAAATAGATATGGAATTTGTTTGTAGAGATTCTAACAATTTATTCAGAACAGGTTTCATTAAAAAAAAAATAAAAATAATAAAATTGATGTAGAAATTGACCATATAATTATTATAAGCTTAAAATTAAAACTACTACCATAGCAAACAGTGTATTTTATTATTTAGAAAACTAAGGAATGGACTTCTCATCAAATTGGAAGATATGTAGAGTCCCATTATCCACAGCAACTACTAATGCAATGGTACAATGTAGTTAACCTGCCCGTATGTAGCTCTAAGCGACGTTTTCCAATGTCAACAAGAAATCCATACATTTCATCTCCACAATTCTTTTTACGATAGAAATGTTAGTCATTGCTAGTACCATCAATATAGACAGGCTTAATCCATCAGGTAGGCAAAGCCCCCACCCCCATTTGTCATGATTCATAAAAAATGGGGAAAATGGGACAGGTCGCAGAATTCCTTAAAACAGGCACCAGGTGTCTTAGTCCACCGAACCCAACCACTGCTTTGTTCTCACAGCTTGCTGACTCCGAAAATTGTAACCCCGTCAAACAGCTTAGCCATTCGTTCGCCAATTCCTGGTGCCACCACTGGCTATAGATTTCCACAAGAATTAACAAATGCAATTTCAAAGGATGTTATTTGCATTGCACCATAAAATGCAATAAAAATTTGATACACATAGTTCATTAACCTTATATTATCCTAAGCAAGGTCTTTAACTCTTGTAGCCATCATGCTACAAATATCAGGCTAGAGTATACATCAGTGTTGACAAATCCATGTCTTCACAAAACCAGAGTGCAAGGTATTTGTGCTTTATTGTCTTAAAATTCATTGATCCATAAAGAGATATGGAATGTTTTATGTTCCTTCTGAGAACAAAGCTGAAAGACAATTTATTGATTTGCTAAAGGAAGTATATAAATTAGTGCTTTTGTCATTTGTTTTAATGAGTGTGTTGGGACAGATGAACCACTCTAAAGTGCATGGTACCACGATGTAGTAGTGCGAGATGAGGCAGATTATTCAATACCATAACTTAATGTGTTTATACTGTAACAATCCCTCCATGGAGGCTGACATTCCATGAAAGCTAATAACATGATTATAAAATAGTGAATGTGAAAGAGAAGAGGAATGGTTAAAAAGAGATCGCAATGTACAAAAAAAAAATGCAGAAACAGAGATGATGGGATTATTGAAGGAGAGAGCAATGGAGTGACAGGAGAAAGATAGCATGTGTGGAAAGAAGAAAGATTAATGTTATGAAAGGGCACATAAATGGGAAATAAAAGGAAAAGATTGTTAAGAAAGAAGAAGAATATGAAAATACTGAGGAACAGGAATTTTCCCAATTCAATTTGTAATTACAATTATGGAAAAATAAAAAACATAAATGATATGTACTAAACTTACCCGGATAAAGACCACCTTTCCTGCAATGTTATACCTGCCTTCAGATATCCTTTTAATCTGCAGACCATGACCAGACTTATTCGCTACTTTCATCACCTTCAAATATAGAAATGTATCAGTTTAAAACATAGTCCATTATGTATGTACACGTTTGATGAAAGTCCTATTTTGCATGCTACATACAACAATATCATCCTTTTTATGTCCATAATAATCTGGATCAATATAGCCAATAATCCATAATCATTTTTCAACCATTTTATTTTGATTTATGGGCAAATGAAGGTTGAAGGTATTATTGTGCATAAACCTGTTAAGTCTTTTCTTTTTTATTGCAATATCAATTAAATATGTTGTTCTCCTGGACTATGTCACAAGCTTTCAACTGGCAGTTTTATCAAGATCAATATGTTTTTGTTCTTTTTCTGCACAAAATGACATCCAAGATAACTCATGCCTAGATTTGCATACAAGAAAAAAGTATGGTACACCCAATGGCAGAGTCAACTTGTTAACCTTTGCCAAAGCATGGAGGTATTAATGAGAAGATCACTCGAAAAAGCTATGCGCAAGCAGCGCTATGCAAATGAACCAAGATCAAAGCTGCCGCAGCGCGTGAAGAACGTTTGCGCGATGCCTTTGAAGTCCCATGTGTTCCCCGCCATCAAATTTTCAGCAGGCATAGTTTACCAAAAAATTGAACATGGCGAAATGGAGAGCACCTTCTTTTCTCGATGTGCACTACATACATTCAATCACTATGGCTGCGCAATCGTTTCCATTTTTGAAGCTGATACATTTATCTCTCATAAAATATCAAAAATATTAATATTTTCCACCAAAAAAAGTTTCGAATTTAATGGAACATTTACATGACCTTTTAAAGTATAGTATATTTCAACTTTAATTTCCATAAATTGGCCAAAATTCACTAATTCTAATTTTAACAGATATTAATTAATAAATGATTGAGGATTATAATAAACTAAGTGATTTTAGGGTTAACGAGGGTTAACTATTCGAAAAATCAATCCAAAATCTGAGTATTTTTCAGTTTTATGCTGACTTAGCTTTATAGTCGAACTAATCAATCTTTAGACAAAATTATAATGAACACAGAAGTAATTTTAACATAAATATTTTACAGAATCCGTTCCTGAAATATACAAATAATAACATACCAAAAGTCCGAAAAAAATCTAATCAGGGGAACACTGTTCATTATAAAGATATTGATGGGTTAAAATCAAACGCTTTATTGCACAACTGCTCTGCTGGAAGTGTATAAATGCATGTCGTTGCTAAGTTGTTGCTAACAAAAAAATGTAAATTATAGGGTAATACGCCCGCGCGCGATGCAAAAGCGGGGAACACATGGTTTTGTCGTGTCAAAGGGAACTGTTGCCGAGTGATCTCCTCCTCAATAATACCTCCATGGCCAAAGTAGTAAACTTATCAGAGAACAGAACCTTTGTGTGCACAAACACAAGAAATTTACAGTGAATAACTTGGGAAAAAAAGTTTAAAATGATTCGTGTGACTTGTGAACCATAAGCAATGCCCTTACTTCTACATCTAAGGCACCAACTGGACTCCTTTTTGCCTTTGGAATTGCTGACACTGGCCTAGGATTGGTCTGTTCTCGTTCAATCTCCTTCTCTAACTTCACTAGGCCTGGAGGCTCAATGCCGTACCTTGCAGCAATCCTTGCCAACTCATATATGCATACCAACACATCTTTAGGCTGCTTTTGTAGAACTAAAGATGTAAAGAAAATGGTGTAATTAAGATGTGGATATATCAACATATCACCATTATTATTATCATAGCCATTATGGAATGGAGCTGTAGTTAAGATGCTTGTCTTCCAATCCCAAAGTCCTAGGTTCCATTCATGTCAATGTAACAGACTATCTTCTCATGATCAAAAACAACTCCACTCCCTAAGCCTCTTAATGAAACATGTTTATGTAGAGCTTCTTATGTTCATGTTTGTCTTGTTAAAAGGATGGTGAATCAATCAACAAATCAAATCAACAGATCAAATCAACATTTCACTTATTTTTAACAGAATACAATTACAACAGATTTTTTTTATATACAGCTGTAAACAGTTAAACTTGCCTAAGTCAACTTTTCCTAACTCAAATAATTTCTAAGTCAATCTTATTTCACAGGCCAAATTGTTGTGTTTTCCTAACAATCTATAAGTCAAATATTTTTCAATTTTGTGTCTAAAAATAAAATAAAAATTTAACCATTAAGCTATTGTTTGGTGATTATAATGTTAACCTTATAATATATTTATTTTAATCCATCTACATTCTTTTGCTAGGGTAGCTCAAACAGGAGGCCCTAGCAGTGATATTAAATGCTGATCAAGGGCAGAAGTTTAGTGTACAATAATAATACTAAAAAAGTTCATTCCACCAAAAAAGTTGTTTTTTCCAGGGATGAATAACACACAATAACACAGGTTAAATAAAAACAGCTAGTACAAAATGTTTGTAACAACTTTCAAAAACATTCAATAGATAAACAAGGATAAAGTGTTACGTATTCATTCTAAATGAAAGATATGGAAAGCCACAGAAAAGAATGGACACAATACCACTAGATATGAAACTGTACTAGATACAATAGTACAGGATGTACTCATTTTGCAAGGGTATTCATCTACAGGCTGTAAAAATACCTATAATAGGCATTACTGACAATTATGCTGATTTGCGATGACAAGCGTTTATGGTTTATAATTGAAGTAGGTATTGATGGCGATTTGCTTTGATGCTTTTTATCTGATTAAATCTATCAACCAGTAACTCTTGATGTTTATCGTTGAGATCATCTAAAATGATTTATATATTCCGGTATCAAAACAAGGTCACTTTGCCCGTATTACTTAAAAAAATTTTACTATTTTGCTTATATTGTATTATATTTATTTATCTATTCATAAATAGATGGTAATGCTATTCACAACAATGAGAGAATGGCATGGCTCTAAATCATTTGGCCATTTCTTAAATGACTAATAGCAAAGACCCAGACTAATATTTTTTTGTGTACCTTTCAACATTTTATATTATTTTATTTTATTTCAAACATCATCCAACAGGTAGAATCCAATTTATCAGAAATATAATGAAATGGAGTCGGTAGGAGCATGCCTAGGATAGGCCAAAGTGTAAAAACTGTCATCGAAGATGTAGATGTGCCTATCCCCATAGAGGTATAATAAGAGTACTAGAGCGCTAACCGCAATGTATTCGATGTTCGAAATACGCAGAACTGTGTGTGTGTACCATCCAAGATGGCTGCCATAGATTTAGCCAATCAAATTTCGCTCAGCACCATCGTTTGCAATTGCGCCCTCAATTTACTAAGAAAGTTCGGTACAGCTAGTTACCCATATGTTTGAAACTCGAGCGTTGCGGTGTTTGGGTGTTAAATGTACACAATTTTAATTTTCATTCCATGGTACTTTATTTTTGAAAAAGATGCTCCACTTGGCCTCGTTTTGGCTAAAATAGTTTGATAATTTGTTATTATCATTACTCATTATCATTAATGAAATAATAGTCAGTCAGAGGGCTTATTAATATGTAATAATATGTATACTAAGCCTGAAGGTGGCGCTTTACTACGACGGCCATCTTGGATGGTACACATACATAACTCTGCATTGCTGTGCCATCTTGTTAGCACTTTAGTTGTTTAATAGCTCTATGTGCCTATCCAAATTACCCATTTTGTTTTCATCTACTGAACAACAGATAAAACTATAAGCAAGGCACATACTACATAGTATGACAATCTCTGTTCTCTGTGAGCGCTTGACGCCATCTGATGATTGTCGATAGCTAACTGAGCGGACTACATGGCTCTTTGCATTGCATTGTAAATAAACCTCCAAAATTTGTATATAGCTGTATTTTATTTTGTTTTGTTTAAAATTGCACTGATCTCCATCAATTACAGTCCTCAGACATCATCTTCATAAACTCATATCCAACCTATTTCTTTACCTTTCCTCAAACCTTCCTACAAGGTTAATAAACGTGCCAATCCCTTGTTGTACAAGTGTTACTACAATTTTCAAATTCTTTTGAGTGTTAAAAAACAATATCAACGGTAACAACTTGTCTATAGGCATTTGAAAATACTAACAAAATTTTATACACGGGCAAATTACATTATTATAGTGTTTTGCATGAGCAGTTTATAAGCTGGTATACATGCAGAGATTTTTGTTGTTCTGTGCAACCAAGTGTTAAGTTTGTCTAGTGGTTTTCATGCTGATATTTCTGGTTCTACGACTTCCTTTTTACGGCACTTAACTAATGATCGGAAATTAAGAGGAAATAATCAGAGTTGTTGAGGTGGATAAGCAGAATGAATGCGAAAACGTTCCAATTCATTAACCTGTAAAGTTTTGCAAGCGTATATCTAGTCAAACAGAAATAATCAATATCAAAACTCATGACAGTATCACTCTGCCACCAAGTGTAATTGATACAATAATAATATGATTTTGAAATGTATAACCCACACAAAATGCCGACTAAAACATGGTATCATTTTATTTTCTTGTAAATAGACCCATACTTAAAAATAAACCAGAATTAATTCAGTGAAAAGATGTCTCTTAGTATTGTGATGCTGGTGACAATGCAGTCCCTCCAGGTATGTAAGTCTGTACCTGGAAGTTGGATGTAAATGGTTCATAATCAGGTCTGGTACTGGATTAGCTGTATGAAAAAAAATATAAAAATTCCCATGGGAACAAAGGATGTTACACATGGCTATGAACATTATGAAATATGGTAACAGAAGTACTGTACTATAAATATAATAACAATAGAAACCATAGCATTCACTAATAAGTTTGACATTAAACATTTATGTAATACACTCTGAAGAAAGTGATACCAGCCATTTGCGGATTCAAGAACACAATTAATTACACAGTGTGTTTTCTCTGCCTTCCAAGACTAATCGTACAGCCTGATATGTGTGTACTAGGTATAATATGCCTAACTATAGTTATTGTATTTTTAAATTAATTACAGGTACTTATGTTATCCATTCATTTTTGAACCAGAAATACTGTAGCTTTAGCAAGTTATCCAGAGTTCAAGTTTGGCATGTGTCCACCGGTTTATGAAGCTTTTTTCTATTTCTCTCAATATGTACAAAATGATTTATTAAATGACTTGAAATGGTTTTGAAATGGTTTTCAAATTGTTCAAATGTTAATACTTTAGAAGGTTAATTAAGATCTACAGATATATAGCTGACATTTATGATTCCATAAATTGTATATTGAGATGCAGATAAATTATAATACATGAAATGGACAGCAGAATCTCAAATTAAATGAAAATATCTACAATAATTATACAAAAATTTTGATACGGAAATATTGGTGGCCCTAACATCAATGAAGGTGGAATATAACCTTCTCCATAATGGTTGGTCTCCGGGGGCTTATATCAAGTAATCAGTTCTCAAACGATTGCTATCATCTTTGATCGTTCCCTCATACCTAGTTCCAATCATTCCCTCCATCATTCTCAAAAAATTTTACTATTCTTTATACATTACCTAGTACTAGTATTTCAGGAATATTCATGACAATAACAACAGTAAAATAATAAAAGTAATCAAATACAGTACTTCTACTTTCTATACTACAACCTTACATCTGGTAAATAAAGTCTGTAAAAACAAACTAAAAATTTACTTATTGTCTTTCCAAAAAAAAACCAATTTTATCAATGCAGTAGCCATATAATCATTGTTTATTCTTGTTTTGTGATTCCTAGAGCATTCCAATTGTCACCTTAGCAACACGGATTATTATATCTATTCATCAAATTTAGATTCTATTCAACAACTAGCACGTACTGTAGTCTACTGTATCTTTTCAAGATAGAGAAGTGTAGGATCTTTGCAATAAATTTGCAATTATGTGTCATTCATTTTTAAAATTGTATTTAAACATGTTTTTAAAATCTGTTATAAAGTGCAAAGGCATCAATTTTTATGAAATTTTATGATGAATTGTTTACTTCATTTTACTTTGTTGGCCTAAAATTTTTTGACATTTTAACATTGAATTTGTTTAAGATTATTTTAAATGCCTTTTTAAAATTACAACTGATTAAAAAAAATTATTAACTTTCGATGTTTAATCTATTTGAAAAATGTTATACTGTAAACCTTTGTTTTCTTGTCAAAGGGCATCCACCCAACAGTGATCAAGTTTACTTTTGGGGTGTTGTTTGTCTTGTGTTGTTTGGTTGTTCTTTGTTGTTTCTGTTTGTTGTAAGTTTTAATGTTTGGGACATTACATTTTGTAATGTCAACATTTCAAGGAACACACCATAATATTGCAGTACATAAATGTAAAAACATTTACTATAGTAACTTGAAGATTCCTTTCCATGGTATGCAAAAATATGAACAAAACATATTTTCAATACATTTCCGTCATTTAGGGTATGAACATGTTTATGAACATGTGTGATAAAATTTATGAAAAAAATAGTTACGAAGGAGTGGCAGCAAGTTACTACTAATGTACATCAACGTAAATTTAGTTTTAATATCTGTACACTTATATTTATTCAGATTGTAAGTGTCACATGCATTCATGAAGTAGCTGAATATGAAAAGAATGAGAGACAAAATATGGTGTAACAGTACGACATACGGCAATATGTTTTGCATATTATATTTTGTTCACATTAATGAATTAGAATGCTAGTGTATGTACAGTACTGTAGGCTGTACTGAAATGGAGACATTTAAATTAATGTTTCTGGTTTCTTCTTGACAAAAACAAAGATTTGCCAAAAAACACTTATCCTAGATTTTTAAAGTTTACATTATAGAACCATGTTACAATCTCTTGATTAGTAAATACTTGGACACCACCTAAGATTCCCAATGAACCCATTACGTTGGTCAGCGAGGTGATTGACAAGTGGACACAAATAATAACAGTTATAGTCAAAATACTATGAAAGCGAATTACTTGCAGACATGACCATTGGAGTCATGGAAGCGCACATATCCATTGTCTCGGATATACTCATCAACTTGACAGCAGCATGGATGGATAAGACATTGGTATATGGTTGAGTAGACGATGTTTTGCGCAAGAACAAATTTGTTAATGGACTAATAATAGGAGACTCGTTTATATTTATGTTCAATAAGTAAATCTGGCATTATGCATGGGCTTTTTATACATTTCTTTAAAAAATCAAATGCTTTATTTTAACTTGTATTTTTTTATACCAAGGAGAGCAGAGGTAGAAATGGACCAGGACACAGGTTTCTACACACTCATAGTATTTAAGCCAGCAGTGCTATGTGTACAGCAATATTAGTAAAACAAATTCACAACAATATGTGCATACCTGTGATGTATACAGTACTGTATTAGACAGAAAGAAATAATTAAACAATTAAAAGAATTAATCAGTTGAATCTAAATACTCAATGAAGTTTGTTGTCAAATATTGATGTCGCCAATTACATGACAAGATTAATGCCCTGCAAACAAAGGTCAAAATAATTCATGTGCATAATTTTACTTACAAAAAAATAAACAATACAATTATTACATATTATTAATGGAATTGTGTTAATTTTAGGAATAAAATTAAAATGACAGATTTATATTATTATAATTTATAAAATAACATAATAAATATTTTTTAATGATTTTTTTATCAATCATTTTATTTTAATTTCATAATATAAAACATTATTGCTTCTAAAAATAGGGAACAAAGAAATATCCTAGGAAAATCATCTCTGTGAGAAGAGTCAAACATCACAATAAAACAACGCAAGTGTCCGAATAATGTTAATAAATTTAAATATTTTTAGTTTTAAATCAATACAATTCTATCTGTAAAAGTAAAATATAGGAAAATATATTTAAGAATGGCTTGATGTAGTACAGAAGAGGCATTGTATTATGCATTAATCCACCATGCAATGTGGTAGAACGCGAGGCTCAGAAAAAGAGAGCAAAGTGAATAGGTTTGAAGGTTACTTATCGGCAAATCCCAGCACAGAAAATCAGAAAGAAATCAATTCTAAATGCTTTTACAACTGCTTAAGGCTATGGTGAGTTTAACAGAGAATATTAAGGAGATCAGAATTCATGTAACCTTACTGCTTCTGACACAAGAAGAGTTTTCATCTCAGCTGTAATAAATACTGTAATCAATTGTAATTCAACCAGCTTCATTCATCCGTCAGATTTTTCAGACAATTGGATTAAATTCAAATTACTGTATCAAAAGCTTTGCTTGAGGATGAAAATCTGTGATGATTGTAGATATTCTGGACTGGTTATACACTAAAAGTAGTTTAAATTGATAATTTTACAGCAGGAATAGACTATGAATTGTGCCTAATATTCAGTACATATTTTGAAGATGTGATTTGGTGGATGGTGACAAACACACAATGAAAATTGAGATGTTGTGGAGAGATTGACAATCTTGATGACGGCGATAAGGATGGTGATGATGATTAATTATTTTATTTGATTATTCTGATTTGTGATCATGATAATAAGTTTATCTTATCTTATCTTATCTTCTATAAAAGTTTATATTTCAGATCAATGCTTACAGTATCTGACCAGGGAATCATTACAGTGACAACAACTCCCTGATCTGACAATAAATTCATTTATTTATTCAAATTGTTAAAAAAGGATCAGTGAAAAAAGATCTTTCCCTGCCATAGCACCGACCATTCAGACCACCACCACCACCATGTGTATACCCAATGCATTTAAAAAATGGACTTCAGGATGTACAATAGTGTATTTGAAGTCTACCACAGATGGTGAATATTACTACAGTATGATGCTATTGGAAATAAAAGAGCTACGTTTAATTCTGTCCACCAAAATTGTAAAGATTATTGGATGCTAGGCTAATGATCCAGGCCTAGAGCTAGATATTTTACGCATAAATAGCACATAAATGCAGGTTGTAGTACCTTCTAGGCTCTGTCAAGGACTGCATCTAATCTATACCCCACTCTATGTCACAGATATCATATGTATTCAGTATTGTAAGCATATTCCACTATTAAAATACCTCCCATTTTAATATTAATCTACCAGTATTTTCTGACAACTAAAAGTGTTCATAATGCAGAATGAGTTGAGCAAATAAATTAAATGAAAGCGCTTGTACACATTTTTAAAAGAAGATATCTAGATGAGTCATCAAAATTGTCATATCCAAAATTCATCTTACGATTACTACAGAAAGTAATTATTTTATTAAATGTACAGTAGCTCTTTTGTATGTGTAGATTGGATGACTATACACACATTATTTTAACTTTAATAGTTTTGTTTTACAGCTTAGTGTAGACTCTGTAGGGTCCACAAGATTTACATTTAGGAAATGTTTTTTAGCGATACTGAGTAGTGTGGTATTTCTCTACAATTTAATACTACGAGAGTATAATATATACTCCAAGTATTGAAATACATGCTATCGTGTTGGGATTCAATATTTCAAAATTAATTATGTCATCATCAAGAATGAAATAATTTGTATTTGTTGTATAATATAAGCTTGTAAATCCTGATAATGACATAATTAATGTTGAAAAATTGAATCCCAACACGATGATGTGTATTTCAATACTTGAAGTATGTATCATAATTTTCTTATCTGAGATTAATCAGTGGCCATTTTGGTTTTAAACAATAATACGATATTTTTTTTTTTTTTAATTTATGTAAAGCGCATACAGGCACTGCGCAACATAATTGTCAATTATTATTATTATTATCATTATTACAATTTTTAAAACCATGAAAGAAACCTATAAACAAATCTATTGACACTCTAAAGCATAAATATTATAAAAGGAAAAACTAGCATCTCATCGTCATACAAGGGAAATGGCTTGAAGAAGCTCAATCGGCCGACAGCGAGAAAGAGATATTCTTACCATATTCCTCTTTCTCTTCCTACATTTATCAGCATAATGTTAACCTTGTTTATTCTCTCAATGTATGAGATAGAATAACATAATGTTGAATGTCGTCCTTACATTATTTTACATAATAATGTCTGTAATAACTTGTCTAATATACGGTACACCAGACTTCTTTCATCTAACTACATGGTGTAATGTTTCACTAATCAGAAAATTTTGCATTTCATATTAATAAAACAATGTAGGCCTCTGTCATATACATCAATAAACTTTCATACACATTCAATGTGTGGTAATTTCTTAATGGAAAGCCTAGAAATCATCAATAATATCTGTGACAACAATGCAAGTAGATGTTCTATATTTTGTAGGCCAACATGTCAAATTATCTCACAGAAACAATTTACAATAAACACGAGTGATAATAAGTCAATATGAGAAATACTTATATATTAATCCCTCATCATTGTTAGTTGGCTTAACTCATACCTCTTCATCTTGCAAAACATATCACCCTAATAATTTGTTTCAGTAAAAATTGTGCAATATATATCAATATGTTTTTGATTCAATTTTTTTATTAATTCAAATCAAATCAAAGTTTATTTTCCTTTTGAACATAAGAAAATTAACAGAAAATTCACTAATTGATTATTAATTATAATTAACAAATTTAGAAACTTTTAATAACAAGATATGATTATCTGTTTTCCACGAATCAGGTTTGTTGGTTTGGAGGTGCGCACAACGGATCGCTTAGACAGTCAGCAGCCGGTGTTATTAAGCGCTCATGCAGAGTGGAGATGGAATTTGATGCAATGTGTACCAAATTTCAAGTTAACACTTACCTAAGCCTTCAGTTTCGAATAAACACGTATCTTCAAGGCCAATTTCCCGACACCATTTTAAAAAGCTTGCTGTATTGTCCCTCGCAAAGAATGAACCTCTTCTTGCATTGGCCCGGTATTTTACTTGTGATCTTGGCAAGTCCTAGAATGATAAATTAACATGAAAATCAATTAATAAAAATGAATATTCAAAAAATACCATATTTTAACGAGTATCATCTCAGGCTAACTTAGTAACAATTATTAAATATTGTGAAAATCGCTTGTTTCGGCTTTGTTATTTAAAACATGCAAAAAGGAAATGCCTTTTCACTTCGGGAATGTTGATAGGTAATACCTAGAGTAGCCCTAGAACATGCAAACACTAGACACGTAAATATGTAAATACCCACTTAGTGGTATCTAACACTTGTATGGATGACATTTTGTTGGTTACCATCTCATTTTTGTTAACAGAGAAATAATATGAATTAAGATTAATCAATCAATATAAAGTACAGACTTACTTCCGCAATTAACCCACGTTTCTTGCACTCTTCAGCTTTATTTTGTAACAGAAGTGCTAGTTTACATGGTAACACCCCATCAGATAAGGATTCCATGAAATTACCTGTTGTGATATCAACATCTGAAAAGGTGAAAAAAAAAAACATACTGTGTACAGTAATTGGTAAGCATGTTAATATAAATTTCAAATACTATAACATTTTACTACATAATTTACAGCGCCTACGCAAGACCTCAAAACTTTTGAATCACCAGGTCGCTGATTTCACAGGTAAGCTACACAACTTTCTTTACCTATCAACATCTGAAAAGGTGCAAAAAAAAAAAAAACACACTGTGTACAGTAATTGGTAGCAAGCATATTAATATAAATTTCAAATATTAACGATTGTAACATTATTATTAACATTTCACTACATAATTTACAGTGCCTACGCAAGGCCTCAAAGCTTTTGAATCCCCATGTCGCAGATTTCACAGGTAAGTTACACAGCGCTCAACCTTCTCAACTTCCTGGGGGATTATTTTTGTCTTGCTTCATTCTACTCAGACTACAGTATCTCAATTCTTTTGTATTGAGAGGTTGGTTTCAGTAGGGTTTCACTGCCTTCAACAAAGACACAAAGAAGTGGTCACCCTCAGACCTTCACCCTTTTGATTTGTAGCCCAGGTTGCCCTGGTAGCCCAGTTTTCCCAAGGTTTACACTCTGCCCTATACAGTATGCTTTCATGATTCACATTTTACGCGCTTTTATGCTTGGTATTATTTTATAAATATTATGTAGTCTCTGTTGCTACTGTACTGTAGGACTTACTGGAACTGGTGTAATTGAGTTGGTTTTTTTTTTTGAACACAATTCAACAAAAATTCATGGCAACTTCATATTGTGTACAGTACCAAGACACTTGTGGCCTCTCATACATCTAATCTGTCAGATACAATCTGATCTTCTACCTGATCTAATCTATTTAGTATTATGGTTCACATTGTCTAATCTAGCTAATCTTATCTCACACTTGATAAAGCCAAGACTACCAGCAAAACCATGTACAATAAATACTATACTTATTAATAGGTCCATGCTATAAATAACGTCTCAAGTGTTCAGACCATGTTTATTTTTCAATCTTTATAGTTACACATGGCTACACAGCTACTACATTCTAATCACTTTATTACATTCAGATTATTAAATTCATATTTCAAATTTTTATGACATACATTCTCAAGATAAAATAATTCATGATGCACAGAACCAAATATTTTGTTATCTGTAATTTCCAATTCATTATCGAGTAGATTTATAAATATTATGCCAGGATACATGCACATAATCTGCTACTGTATTAGTAATTTTTGAAAGAGCTCTTGTTGACTAATTTGCAAAAGTTGCTGCAGGAAGACATAGCGTTGCTGTAGCACTTCGATTGAGAATATCATTATATTTTTATGATCTATGAGTTATAAAATGTAACAGTATTGATTTTATTGTCCTAAATCAGCTTACAGTACAAAAAAATTGATTGTTCTGAATCTGCTTGATATACCTGATGAACTTTGCAATTATATGCTCCTGAATTTACCTGATAGCGGGTAGCACTAAATAATATAAAAATAAACATAGATGAAGGAGGCAAAATGGCGGTAAGCTGGATGTACAGTGGCATGAAAGCATGTGGATGATGGACCAGAGTAAGTACTGTAGCAACCAAAGAAGACAGACCAAAAGTGAGATGGAGAGGCGGCACATCATCTAGAGACGTCTTGGGCAACAGAGGCACTGACTATAAGAAAATATACAAATCATGAGGAGGGCTACATCTGAATTTGGGTAGATGTGTGGAAAAACCTTGAAATAATTTCATTACACAAGAACAAATTAATTAATAACAATCACAAGAAAGCTTTGATGAGTTACGGACCAGGGTTCATACAGGTATGACAGTTCCAAAATTTCTGGTACCAGCAGGAAAAAAATGTAGCAGCAGTACACAAACATCACCAGTAGTTAAAATTTATAGCCAGCATAATTTAACTATTTCAAACTACAACCTCCCTCGTAATGTAACAGCCACAATTGCTTTATTGTTACACATGCTTAAAGTAATAAAGCGTACCTGGACAGATTGACGTCAAGTGATGTGAAAAATTAGCGTAGAGTAAGTGAATACTTACAACATAGCTTTCTGTATGCCGGTAATCTGTACAGTACTATCATTTAAAACTAATACTATTACATTATGCAAATATTAGGCCTGCACAATTAAGTACATGTACTGTACAGACTGATCCGGTGAAAAATATTCTTGTAATTTCGAAAAGGAGAGGAACAGATGGGTGGCAATAAAATAAATGCATTGATTGTGAAATTAGCAAAATATTGGTTTTGTCGGGATGAAAAGATCTGTTATGCAGATTCAGAATAAGCTAGAAAATCAACACCATAGTTGGTGTTAAAATTACTTGGCAATTATAAATGTTAAACTGTCAATCTACATTAAATTGATAGAATAGATACTAATTGTTAACCTAAAAGACCTAACATGCTTCACACCTTAACCTCCAAAGATGAAACATGTATTTATAAAGCTTTGTTCTTCATCTGGAGTTATAAAACGAACATACTGTAATCTAATGTTATTTATGTGCTTTATACATCAGTAACTAGTGCAGTTGAAATAAAACATTAATTTATGAATTGTTGTTGAAATACCAGAGCTAAGGTAGATTGCTGCTTCAGGCGTCTGCAACTTCATCAAAAGAGTGATGCTATAACAAAATTACATTGCAATAGTTCACAGATGCAATCATTACAGTGTATTTCAAGCAAATATTTTCCTTGTAATTTATCTAAGTACTACACTGTATAGGAAATTTGCAGTATTGTATGTGTCTTCATGTAGAATTTCAATTAGTGTCTCTAGGGATGTAACATTATGGAAACTTAAATTATGCATCACATTACTTACACTAGTAATCTATTTAGTGTTTAGTACATATTAGGAAATATATAATTAATTACACTGACAACATTCTATGAAGTTTATGTTTTACAATTAAATGATATCTGGTAACAAATCAAGTCATATACATCATTTGCATTTTAATCTCACATCTCATTTTTTTTTTCTATTCAAACACCCTGGATCCTCAATCCTACAGTTGGATTTGATGTACAGGAGTGTTTGATATTGTATATTGCCTATCAGCATTAGAATCACCCCTCAAATCATCAAAGCCAACACCCCTACGCTACCACCATCACAATTACAACCATCACAACAATTACCACCAACTACCCACCTCCTATAGAAGATGAACTCTAGATCATCATTAGTTGACTCTTTGTGATGATAATTCAATTACAGTAACAAGTGATTTGTTTTGATATCACAATTCTTTCAAAAATACGTATTTTAATTAGCAAATAGCAGCGGCAGACATATGAGACAAAGTCCTAAAAACTGTGACAGTCTAAGCTTGGACCATTCACCTCCGATAATAATGTAGGCCTTCGCTGACACTATTAACATTTTATCATTACGGTACACATTCTGTTACAGCACGCTTTAGCTAACAATTACGAAAATCTGCAGGTATATGAGAGGATTATAGCAAATCTTCAAATCATTATACATTGTAAATTTTGTTGAAATGTCCTAGAGTAAAAATCAACAAAGCTATTGGTCAAAGTAAAGAGAGGGAAAGCACTACTGTACATAGATATTATAGATATAGTCTTAGAGCTGATCAACAATGATATAAAAATAACACATTTTTTAGTGCATTTATTCAACTTAGTAGGCATTCATAATCCAAGATGGAAAATTTTCTAAACTCTTTATAATCTAATAATTTTTTTTCATAAAATAAAAACTTCTGTCCTTTTTTCATTTCATATATCTACTGAAGTCCCATATAAAAAAGCAAACAAACATCACATCACACTTGAAAAGATAATCATATAATAATAATCGTCATCATTTACTAATCAGAGATTATAAAACTCAGTAGAAACCAACTGTCAAATTGTTCAAAAAGATGGCATATTTAAAAAGTACTTTCAGTTGACGTAATGAAAGGTAATGAATTAAAACGCATGAAGGCTTGGGATTCTGCGGTATATGTACAAGACCTACATAATATTATTACTATATTTTTAATTATTAATTGTTGCATAACACTTGTGTCATTTTGCTACAATAAGTACCATATCATTACTCACCTAAAACCCTGGATAACCAGTCTGCTAGATCATCTTGCAGAGGGATCAATGCCTCCTCCGCAGCCTTTGCAATCTCGGAAGTTAATTCCGTGGCTGAGTGCTCTGTCATAGTTCCATTAAACATCTCAACATGAGATCTTGTTGAGAGGAGTAATACTTAATCGAATCATTCAGTCACATTTTAAAAGTATTTGATAAAAAATGAAGCATTATCTGAAAGAAAAGAAGAGCAAGTTCCACATTTAATATTTTTAATGCAATCTATCTACTTATAGTTTCTTTCTTGCATTTTTTGATAATTACAGTATTTATTCTATTTTATTGTCATTAATGTTAATATTACTAGTAAATAATAGTATACTACAGAGTCTCTATGTGTTTGACTGCTACACAGCATCACAAACATTATTTCAATTTCTGGAATTTGATACAAATCATTTGAGAAGCTATAGTGTAACCTACTGTGTGTTTGAAGATACACATTCAAAGACAACATAAATCTGGCCGTATTACATTCACATTGTGTTAAATTAATGTAACTCCCAAGGATCATACTACAGTAGTTTATGTTCACAATGCTTATGAAACATTAAATTAAGCTGCACAAAACCCAACAGTAGTACTGTATATTGTATTGCATTAATATACAATAAGTACAGTATTATAATAATAGTATTAATATGGTCCATTACAGCTTGCAGATCAGACAGAATCTTAGGATAGTATTGTAATATAATAATTCATTTCAAATTATTGTGTAATAAGATACTGCTACTGTGTAACTAGTAACAGGTTTGATGAAGGCCCCAGACTGTTTAACATCATGACTTACAAATTGTATTTGCATGCACAGTGAAGTATCACATTAAATCGATTGCGAATACTGTACAACTAATGGACAATACCTAAAATGAATTGCTAATGAAAACCATCCAAATCCCTCCTCCTCATCCCACTTTACCCTACCCTCCACTAGACCATGTTCAGCATCATATTTACAATCTTATGATTTTTTTACAGGTTTTTAATATTTCTGGTATTATTTATATTTGAATGTATTCTCATGCAATTTAGCACTGACTCTGCCAGTTGAGGTCAAATAAAATTGAATTGAATGTGTTGCTTAACATAGTACATTGTAGATCTCACATTACAAGTAGTTTAAAATTATAATTGAGAAGCATAAGGAAACGTCTAGATTGTTTTGACATCATGATTTTTAAATCAAACTTTTGCCTTCATAACAAATATAACATTAAGTCTTCAATTGAGTAATTTGATATTATCTACTGTACTTCAGCTGTAGAACCAACATAATAAAGAACAGGATAATGGGGTTTCTTAGGTTATCTTGATCAATAACAAAGGGCAATTTTTTCATTATGGTAGAAGTTGACAACAAACATCGTCAATGAACTGGTTGCTAGGTGACGAAACTGCATGAACGTAGGAAGCATGCACACATAACCATCTGTCAGTGTTCACATACAATGCACACATACTATTCGTTAATGTGTGTGTTCTTTGAATCTGAATTACATGCAAACATTGTAATGTCATTACATTAGAAAAACAAAGCCACTGATAAGCTACGGTAATTGCCGGATGTTATGCTTTTTGTGTAATTGATAATTAAATGATGTATAAGATTATATTTTGGGGCAAAATCCGATTCACTGATGAAGGCTTTTCTTGACAGCATGTATGTTTTTTATTAGGGCTTTCTTATTTTTTTTCTAAGTCTTGTTATGTTACAATAAATTGATGTGTGTGTATGCCACCATTCTAAAGATGAAATGTCATAAGTTAAATATATATCTAAAAGTAAATTTTGAATTACTAATTCTATGACAAATGTTACGAATTCATGGGTGCACCATCAACCTGATGGGTACCACTGATCTGAAAGTGAACCCAATGAATCATATCATATCGTACCAATCAATCAGATTATAAATTCCATTTCCAATACTTTGACATTAGGATCACACCTTCTACAGTAATATTAATAATAATCAATATTATTAGGTTATTACGAAAACCAAGGGTGAGAAAATTAACAACTGGTTTCTGGTTTTCAATTGATTATTATTCTAAATCACATGTTTTGAAAATTCCAAATTACATTTTTATACTGCATGTGTATATTCAAACAAAATATCAGTAACATCAAACAACCTTGATTATTATTACTGACAGTGACAGCATTCTTGGACTAGGGAGTTCAATACTGTAGCTGCAATGACACCAATCCAAGCACATTCACACTACAGCAATGAACTTTTATAACATAGGAAATTTGCATTGCGTGGGAATTCGATATACTACAGTTTTATTAAATTCTATTGTAAATTTCATTTTTAACATTTCTTCATTAAATACGTAACTCGGTTGTGCAGTTGTTAGTGCCAATTCTCAGAAATAAAGAATTTAATAAATTATTTTACGGCCAGATTATTACTTGTTTACCTTCTGTAAGGACAGACATTCACATGTGGAGAAAATCCGGATGGCAGAGGATAGCGATAATGGCGGAAACAGGAGCCGCAGACCTGCCAACAGGGCAAACTGCTACTGACCGACTGACCTTACAAATTAATACATTTTTGTAATAGTGTACACCTAGAACATTTGAATATCAATAACATGTAATATAATCTTTAATAAATAAGTAAATATTTTTATTAATCCTTTAACTCATTCATTGGCACCACTGATATCTTCAACAGTTAATACATACAGTAATATTAATACTAAATACAGTATATTTAGTCTAAAATTCCCTTTCTCTTTTGGAGAATAAACACTGTAAATGTCAGTAATCGGACAGTTCAACATGACATTGAAATGGTCTTTTTCAATAAAGCTGTTGACACAAAAGTACTTTCATAAAAAAGAATAAATCTGTAACTCACCAATCATATTGTGCAAATTTAGTTGTCCTCACACTAAACATAATACATTCCTGTGGTATTATATATACCACAGGTATTTCTCGTGATATACAGTACTGTACCTTCAGCTTCAAGCGTCATGCAAAAGTAGAAAGCAATTCAGTACACACTGTTGTGTACAATCGGTCAACATGCAACAACCAATTAGGATGGACACACCTATGGATGTTTATATTTCTAAAAGGCTAAAAATAAATAAATGCAGGGCTGTCTTATAATACATATATTATAACCATATGTGGACAAATGGAAATGCTCCTTTAAACATATTTTGGCAATAATCAGAATCTATGGATTATAGTTGGTGGTATTTTGTCAGTTGGCTTTTGTGAGTCTGTCAAGCTTAATTGTTGAAACCACTTTGACAACAATATGTCATGTTAACCCCAAAGAAAGTATTATAAATGTTTTATTTTTTCAGATGTCAACTTTACAGAATAACACAATAATCTAAATGGGGCCAATTTTGATCTCTTTATTCTATTCTATTTTACAGCAAAAAATATTTTTCTGGCAAAACGGAAACAATAAAGCCTTTATGAGATTCTCTAAAACAGAATTTAATAACTACTGGTAATAAATGCTATACCAAAAACATGAAATCTATTCAATTTAAATACTGGAGTTGTTTTTTATCCCATTCTTTTTAAATCAGAAAATAATTAATGCAAATTTGGTAACTTCAAATTTAGGTACGGTAGCCAAAATGTTTTACAGTATAAAGAAATCTTGCATATTAAATGAACAACAGCCTAAACCAACTGCATGAATGAGAGGATTACAGACCAAAATCAACATGTTTTGCTTTCAAATGGCTGTAAACGTCCTGAGACACGATGGTGGCCACATGTTCAAGGGAGGCGTAATGCATACTCTTGTCGGAATGAGGTCATGCTTCACTGCACATACAACCTAATGGGCAAATTATTGTGCATATCTGTCCCTGTCATTTTAACAGTTTCTAAACATACAGGTAGTCCCAAAGATATGGAAAGATCCTTTGAATCAATTTTACACATGTTAAACAGGTAAATAGATATCATATAAATGTTCTGTATCAGACATCAAAATAATCGGCTCACTTTATGAGATATGTTGTTTGTTTTGCCTGATAAATGGTAATAAAGTGATATCAAATTTTAATCCAAGAATTAAAAATAAATATAATACTTGATAAGATTAAAGATAGCAAGAAGACTAACAATTAAATAAAAAATCTATGGAAGTTGTTAATTATGCAAAAAATTTAAATTGGCTATTAAACCGTCAAGAAAACTTCCTACCTGCTACCTGTAGTAGCAGACAATGGCCACATCATTGATAAGATTAAGAAGAGGAGGGACCTCTGTTGCACAGGAAAGGTCCCCAACATCAACAAATTTATTCATGATGTTAATTCTTTGTGCTATATAAATATGTGTTATTTCATTTGTTAATATGTTAAACACAAACCATCTTGAAAATAGCCAAAAATTCTTTTTCTGTACACCTAAGAGCTTACTAGCAACCTAAATCACCACCAAAAAAGCTTCGAATCTAGATAGCAGTCAGTGTTTGACACCCTGTTGAATAGTTTTGTCCCTCTGAATAATGTTTTATTTATCAATGAGGCTCATTTTAGTCTTTTAACTAAATTGGTCTTCCAATTGGTTGTGTCCTTAAGGTATAACAAAGGATTGAAAGAAAGCTGAAGGAAAACCAAAGTAAGGTGCACCCTCCCTCCAATTCGAGACCCCTCTAATTCGAGACCACTTTCCAAAGACCCTTGGAAATAATTATCTCCAATCTTTTAACACAAAGCTAGTCCTCTAATTGGAGATCAAGGGTGGTCTGGAATTGGAGGGCGAACTGTACTGTATTACAAAATTTGAACCAAGCCTAGGCCATGAATACGCAATTTGCCCGATTACTATGTTCATGGTGATTTTCAACAATGGTGGTAATGTGCTATTTACACTACAGGTAAAATAATATCATTCAATTAGTTACATAGACTGCAGTTATTAGACCTATAGTACTGAATTCACAGTAGTAAAGCCACCTAAAAAAGTTTTTTTATTTCATTTTTTATTAAATAAACTTCTCACTAAAAAAATACATCACTGACAGAAATGACGCACACCTCTACAATGGCTCGCTCCATATAATTATAATAACACAAAAATAGAAATATATAAATATATAATAATTAGGAACATCTGTAATGATAATTAATCCTTTATCCTTTATTCTTTGTTTTTTTATTATTGTCACGAAGAGATGGTACAACACAATCCACTGATTGGTCGAACAAGATCTTAAAAGCGAACCTAACCACTATTGTGTTAGCATGAGATCCTCAACCCAAAGCTTCACATGAATAAAAAATTTTTACGTCTGCTTGGTTTCGCTCACGCTGGTTCGCTGTGATGTCACTTAGGGCCCGTTCGAGCGAAAAGGAAATTTCACAACCTTACGAAAACGATAACGAATACGTCATCTTCAGTATCGTCATTTGTACCTAAAACATTTTTAACAATACATCAGAGCTGTATATGATTGTTAATTCATTTAAAAGTCATTGCCTACTGTACATCTGTCTCTTATACACATCTGATGTGTATAAGAGACAGGATTTACTGTCCAATCCAACTTTGATTTCGCCGTGAACATGAGGAGGCGAAGAAGAGCGTGACGACAGCGGGTACTTGCTGTCGGTCCCCTTGCTGTGGACGAACCATTTGGCAAAGCAATTAAGGTTGATTCTACCCAGCAATTTGGTGGTCAAAATTGTCGCGGATAATCCAGATGGTAAGGTAATTAGGCGCGTGTCCGAGCGGTTTTAGAAAGTGTGTACCGGTGAATTAACTGGAAAATCGCACGGATATTTTTTCGCTCGAACGGGCCCTTAGAGTTAAGGGACATCTGGTTAGGCATCCTATACCTATGCGATGTTCCTGACGGTAATCTGCTCAGGTGACTTTCTGCTGGCACTACATTATTTCCACAAAGTCAAGTATGGGAAATACTATAACTTTTGTTGTTGTTTGTTGATCTATACCATGTAAATTTTGTCGGCGTGGCTGGAGATAAGGAACCATATTTCTACTTCCATTTGCTAAAGGTACGGCAAATGGCATTACGTCACCATCACCCAATGAAGTGCCAGAATGTGCGTGATGTCATCTTTCAAGACTAGCATTGCAGATCACTTACGACAATGAACGGGGTGAAACGCGAACAATGTAGTACTAGGTAAACATCAAATGAAAAAGTACAATTTTACTGTACTTACTGTTATCGATAAATAGGCGTACTGTATGGTTCCACTCAGTAAGAGTCATGTCATTTATCTATATATATATAGCCATATCAAACAAGGACTGAATCCTGTACCAAATTCTTGGCATAGGCCTTGCTTGAATCGCTTATCGAAGAATCTATTTAATTTATTTTTTCAACAACATTTCACGAGGGGGCTCTTACAGCGAAGCTGACTCAAACAGGCCCTGAAGAGTAAATACAACTATATATCTAAGCAAGGCCTAGGCCTTGTTTATGATTCTTCGCTTGGCGGCAGTCCGGCATATCAGTCAAACTGTAAACTAATTCCTCCATGTTCATACCAAGTCTGATGTTCTCAAGCCCCAAAGTCTCATCCCAAGTTTTAGTCCAAGAAGCCTAGGTTACAATACTAAATATAATTGAAATTATACATTTTAAATCCGACCAAAATAATATTCATACTCTTTGCATAAACATGCAACCGTACATTTACCCAATTTTACGAATACTTCCCCCAATCGTAAATATTGTTCATCCAGAATCCATTGATCGAGAGAATGTTTCCCCAATCACATGGTTATTGGTGTCAAATTTTCCAACCAACTTTGATGCAGGCCCATTTGAAACAGTACTACGGTATATAAAGTGAGCACTAGTAGGCCTATATGAATCCTCTTATTACAGTTTACTGAAGTATATTCAGTTTTTTAGTGCAAGTTTTGTCATGTAAATAGATTAAACCAAAGACTGAGTAGTAATAAAGTAGTATGTCAACTCTCTTATTATTAATTATGCTGTGGCTAGAGATATGGTACCGTATTTCTACTTTTAAAGATAAGGTAAATGGCATTACGTCAATATCACCCAATGAAGTGCCGAAATGTGTGTGCCGTCATCTTTCAAGACCGGCATTGGTATTGCAGATCGCCCAGTGTGAGCGGTGTAACTAGCGAACGATGTATTGGATTAGCACATGATTAGCTAGGCAAAGAGTACAGTATTTTTCTTATAATACTGTCATTGATAAATAGTCGCAAGGGTTCCACTCAGCAAGTCATGTCATTTATCTATAGCTTTCAAGCAATGCCTGAATCCTCAGGACCAAACTTTTGTCGTAGGCCCAGGCTTTGATTAGACTCTTCGCTCAATTATTACGCCGTGGGTAGAGATACGGTACCGTATTTCTACTTCAATTTGCTAAAGGTATGGTAAATGGCATTACGTCACCATCACCCAAAAATGACAAACATCAAAATTTAGATCGTAGACGTAGACCAGCACAGACAGCAGAGAGAGTGAATGGAAGCAAAAATAGAACAACCTGGTACAGATGTATTAACTATTGATGATACTGACACCAGTGGCATGCATTTCAGAATACATGCCACAAAATACCCATAGAACTGGGCTAGGCACAACAATAGGCTAGCTAACGCTATCACTGCCACAGGCCCTACACCGCTCCGTACACACCACACGCACGACGACGTGTGTATGTGTGTGTGTGTGTGTGTGTGGCCTATCCATCAAACACACAGCAGAGAAGATCGCTGAACTTATTATCTATAAAATAATAAATATCACCTCCAAAACTAATAAACGTAATTCACAGTAATCAAAAAGTATATACATACAGGATACTCACTTGGTTAACATCAACAAGTCAATTACAGTATAGGTTGTTCAAAAAGGGCTTTAACTAGCGTTTCACAGATTTCTGTTGACATCGATCGCACACGACACACTCATCGAAAAATGAGATTTGTTGTGTGTTGCTGTCTGGCAGTGCGCCCTCAGCGGTCAGCTATCAAACCACCTGATTGGAAAATATAAGAGAGCGCACTCTAATTTCCACTTACAATACTTGCTACACTTAAAGCTACGAAAGCCCCGTTAGTGTCAACAGTGAATAAAAATTTCAAATCAGTTAAGTGGCGGCCGCCAGATAATATTATTTATTTTGACACTAACGGGCTTCCGTATAAAGCCTTTGCCAAGAAGGTAGAGGGTTTTAACACCAGACAGGATTAGCCTATTCGGACAATATCAGTAGCGGATCCAGCAGGGGAGGGGAGGCACGTGCCCCACTGTTTTTCAATACATATCAGTGTTATGTGTTAGAGTGTTACTCACTTATTCAATCTATTCTGAAACTGTTGTGCACCCCCACCCCTGTTTGACAAATTCTGGATCTGCCCCTGGACATGGGCGTGGAATGGTGGATGGGGTTGGGGACGCACCCCCATGACGGCAAATTAGTTCCACTAAGTGGGGTTGAAAATATTATAGGATAGTGATTAAGTTCAGTGATTGGCATATCATTGGCGCTCGTGCCTAATGAAATGAACACAATTTTGAAAAAAAAAAGTTTTCATTTCAAGCAATCCAGTAACTCTATATATATTGACCTCTAAATATAAAGAAAGCAACGTTATTGATAACATGCACTTATTAAACAGATTAAAATAGTTATACAGGTAATAATTACTCTGACAAGAGTTTATTAGTTAATGATTGTAAATATCTCTTAATTTATTTTGTCTTCAGAAAACGTTAAAGGACACGAGAAATACATACATAAGCAGAAAAAATTAAGCAATCGTTAAAACCCGACGGGATAACCTTAACCAAAAAGCAAAAAAAAATAACACAAAAATCAGTGTCTACCTGTACAGTAGTGGTTCTCAAGGTTGAAAATCATAAATGTAAACACTTACAGTGGTCCTTGCGTTCTATATTATAAACATTATGTTGATGACATTTTTTTTTCTCTTCAAAAAGGAAAATGATGATAATATATTTTTAACACTGTTCACTAATGATGACATTTGACCAATCGAAACATGTCTGGTTTAATTATAGTTACAGTTATATAAAAATGTATACTGTACATAAATGATTGCGGTTATACAATCGCCTAAAATTGCAGAGGAAAAAATATACTGTAATAAAAAAAACGAAGAAAGCATATCATGCACTTGTATTTACAACGTTGTCTTATAATTATCAATTCGGCGACGAAGTCAACACAGATACCGTATGATACAAACCAAAGTTGTCAGTTATTTAATTTGAAACCAGTGTCAGTATAATCTTAGGTAAGCATGTGGTTAACATAAGCAAGAATTTATTTCAATGAAACTGTTTATCATCTTGACACCTTCCGACGAAAATTGACCCATCCGTTGTTGTCACCACGGCGTCCCCACCGATCGATCTAACGTGACGTTGTTATGTGGGTGTTTTTATAGATTATTGAGAATGATATCACCGAAGAAATAGATAAAATGACAGTTGAATGACCAACAAAGACAACTGAAGACAATAGTTCGTCATTAGAAGTTATTTAGTATAATTTTATTCAGAAAATTAATCTCAAAATCGAGTTGCCGTCCCCGGCGTTGTGACGTCGTTCGATTTGTGTGCGATTTTTACCAATTAGCCCCTAAGTAAAAAATAGTTGAGCCATGTAGGCCTAGTACCTTGCAAATCAACCCAGAAACTTGGTAGTTTGTTGATTGTTTATTGGTAGCGTCCCTTCGCTGCCAAAAATAGTTTTTTGGCAGTTGCGTCGCCCCGATGACATCGTGAGAGCATGGAGAAGGTTGGTTACGATTTGGTGGCACATCGATTGAGTATTTTCATTCATCTGGCCATGTAAATCAGTGGCGTATCTAGATGTCTTGAAATGGGAGGCTGATGGGTTGGGGCGCGAAGGTGAATTGGAAGGGGGCTTGATGATCAGTTGAGGGGCGCTAATTTGCAAAATAAGGTGATTTTTAACTACTTGACCGTGATTTGAAACCAGTGTCAGTATAATCTGAGGTAAGCATGTGGTTTAAATAAGCAAGAATTTATTCCAATGAAACTGTTTATCATCTTGATACCTTCCGACGAAAATTGACCCATCCGGCGTCACCACGGCGTCCCCACCGATCGATCTAACGTGACGTTGTTATGTGGGTGTTTTATAGATTATTGAGAATGGTATTCACCGAAAAAAATGAATAAAATGACAGTTGAATGACCAACAAAAACAACTGAAGACAATAGTTCGTCATTAGAAGTTATTTAGTATAACTTAATTCGGAAAATTAATCTCAAAATCGAGCTGCCGTCCCCGGCGTTGTCAGTGACGTCGTATGATTTGTGTGCGATTTTTACCAATTAACCCCAAAGTAAAAAATAGTTGTAGTACCTTGCAAATCAACCCAGAAACTCGGTAGTTCGTTGATTGTTTATTGGTAGCGTCCCTTCGCTGCCAAAAATAGTTTTTTTA